CCTCAATATTTAGTATTAATATCTCAAGAGACCAAGACCTCTTACCTATTAACCAGGCGTCACTGTATGTTCTTTAAAAGGAGAAGGTTAAGTTACTAGAACCGTTCATAAGGGAATTTTTTTTTTCGAAATAGTACTATATATGGCAAAAGAGGGTTTGCCGCCATTAGTATAAATAGCTTAAGATTAAAATACAAGCAAAACTGCCTCGACAAACGCGCTACGCTGTCGTAGTTAGTTTTAAGTGTATATAGAACGCAGGATTATTTCGCGACGTCTGTCTCTCGAGCTGGACGGCACTTGCAAATGAGGGCGGAAACGGTCACGCATTGAGGTCATGCGTTTGAATAGGACAGCTTTAACGACCCTGGGTTAGTTACCCCTTTTTTGAGGGGTGTGAATGCCTAATGGACCCCCTCCCCGCTTCAGTTATAGTACAAGGAAACTTTTTTTGAACTATATTTTTTGACAGTTGCGTCCGTTTTGCATTGGAATAACAATGTTACTATAGAGGCGGTCGGGGACAAGATGGGCCAATAGAAGTGAAATCTCTTTTTCCCCTGTGAGGCAAGGGGCGAAAACATACTTCTATATTTGTTTCGGATCAGTAAATATTTTCATTAGTATTTGATCAGACTGGGGGGGCCCCCCCCCCCCCCCCCCCCCCCGGGGGGGGGGGGGGGGGGAAAAAAAAAAAAAAAAAAAAAAAAAAAAAAAAAAAAAGGGGGGGGGGGGGGGGGGGGGGGGGGGGGGGGGGGGTGTTAAAAAAAAAAAAAAAAAAAAATAAAAAAAAAAAAAAAAAAAAAAAAAAAAAAAAAAAAAAAAAAAAAAAAAAAAAAAAAAAAAAAAAAAAAAAAAAGGGGGGGGGGGTGTTTTGTAAAAAGGAGAAAAAAGGGGAGGGGGGGGGGGGGGGGGGGGTTTTTTTTTTTTTTTGGGGGGGGGGGGGGGGGAAAAAAAAAGGAGAAAAAGGGGGGGGGGGGGAAAAAAAAAAAAAAAAAAAAATAAAAAATAATAGTTGAGGGGGGGGGGGGGGGGGGGGTTAATAAAAATAGGGTCCTCCAAAGGGGGAGGGAAAAAATATGTATTAATAATGGGTCCAACACAGACACATAATATCTATATATATTTTCTTTCGAAAAGACCCTTCCGAAGCCGATTTAAAACCATTGGTTCCTTTTGTCAGGTTATTTATTCGATAAAAAAAAAAAAAAAAAAATTTTCGATTGCTTTCATCCAATTACGAAAAACAGATGGCGCTAGTACAAAATTTGATTGAGACTTTTCAGCATAAATCTTTGTTTATAAAATTACTTTCAACACCCTCTACAGAGTCATATAATTTTGGTGTTATTCAGGTCTGCCCCTGTTTCCTCTTTCAGATACACCACTCACGGTAAAAGGCACGCGCCATTGTTATAACGTAACAAAAACTTTCTACGACTCGTGATAATGACAAAACCATTTTGCCAAATTATTCACAAACTCCACTGCATCGTCGTTAAAATTCATGTCATGTGTTTAGAATATTTAAATAAAACACTTTAACGGCTTAAAACGCGATATATATCAGTTAAACTTATTTGAAAACCATTTAACTACGGCGCAACATTTCAAATTCTTCGCAAACGGTTAAAAATTAAATAAAAAAAATGTTTATTGTCTTCCTCTTAAGAGTAAAATTGCAAGTTACAAATAAGTCGCTATTAACGGTTTAAAACACGGAATACATAATTTTACTTTTTTTTGTTATATTTTAACCGACGTATGTAGCAGCCGTGGCCGCGAATGGGGTCGTGTTAACTAAAATATTTCGCTTTTTTAACCGTTAATTTTGTTTCACTTATAAAATGGTTCAAGAAACCAACGTATACAAATGTATGTAAGAATGATTCCTTTATAAATGATCTAAAAACACTAGCGTTTCTATGTTAACACAAAGAATGTTTTCTCGAGTATAAAAAAAAAAACTTTTAACTTGTTGCTGCTATTATTTGCGTATTTAAACCCGATAAAGATATTTTATTTAAATGGTATTTTTAACTTATTGATACGTCTGTTAAGGTTGTAGAACAAAATAAATTATTAAATTGGCTATTCTCCATTTATAAACAGATATAGAAGTGTGGCAGACACATACCTACATTCGCATTTTGTGCTTTACTATTTTAGGTCATTTTCATTAGTATAAGAAAACAATTGAATTAATATCTCTCTTCTTAAATAAAAGACAAGAAATGAACGTCCGTAATTATTTTTTAATATTAAATCTTCTTCGAGAATCAACAAACAAGTTCTTTTTAATGTTGTCATTTTTCAAAAGCAATTAAAACAGAGTCACAATATTAAAACGCGAGCGGCTAATATCTTCGAACGAGACTCACAATACTATACTATTATAAAGAAATCAAAATCGTTTGTCTGTCTTTATATTTAATTCACGAGATGTGTCAGCGACATCATCCCTGTAGAGTTATCTTAGATATCTTAGGCAGCCAATGTTTTTTTTTGCAAACCTTCTCATATTTATAAAATATAGTTGTTACCGCGCATCTTGTATTTAAAAAGGAATGATATCTTTCGTAGATATTTTTTGGGAATCTTAAAAGAGGACCGATTCTTGCAGACATACGCCTGATACTATGAATAATTTTCCCCGTTTTTTCCCCATTTGCCGTTATTTGTTCGCTCTGGCTATTAGTCACAGCGCGATGTTTTATTCTATAGTTCCTCGATAACTGTTCTAACATTTTTCAATTCGTACCAGTAGTTCTGTACGTATGAAACAAACAAGCAATCTCTACAGCTTTCTAATACTAAAAAAAACACGCGACATTATGTATATCTTTTAAAATTAACTTGCAAGAACGACGGAACGTGACGTCAGCTTAAATTTACATCGATGAAGAGGATGTTGGGAAAAACAAATTGTGCCCAAAATAACTATTCCACGCGGACACAGCTAGTGAAGTATAAAGCAATTATATATGTAAATAAAGGGGTACTCTCGCACATCTCTTTATTTATGTTTTCTTTATTCTGTGGGTTATACGATAACGATTGTCACTGTCAAGTGTCAGAAGGGTCAAGTGGCAAATGTAGAGGTTATTTCGTGGTGCTTTTAGAATATTGCACATTATTAAAAATCGTAGTAGACTGATAATAATTAAGTTGTAAATGTTGTTTCTCTTTCAGGTATGTTTTAATAATTTAGTTATAGTTGGATATTATGTTTTATTAGTCATAAGTAATGCATAATAAACTCTTTCAGAGCAACACATTGCACATGTCGTTTCACTCCGGAACACCCAATTATAATAACGAAGCATTATATATATATATATGCCCCGTGTGGGGATCTTACATATACATTTTGAATTGAGAATCGACCCCAATTTGTATAAATTATTAGCCAACCATACAATGCAAATTCAAACTTAATTATTCATACTAATATCAGTTTAACACTTACAGTACGCCCGTAGGCGATAATTTTAGATGATTATTTATAGGCCCTAAACGGCCTGTAATAAATTACATTATTATAAAGGCCCGAATCGTAGGTTGCGGTCTCCAATGGACGCTATACGTTGCGATAAATCGTTGCTTATATCCTTTACTCAGTATATTGAAGTGTTGAGGTTGAAATTACATTGCGTTTTTTTTATTGGGGCCGGGGGGGACAATACGGGTGGGAGCTTGATAAGCTGGACGGAAGCTCACCCGGGTGAGCGGTACGCGGAGCAAATGACCTCGATTTCGCGGACGATCGGCGCCTTCAATAGGTTGATTAAATTCGATGATGACGTGTAGGACACGGTAGCTCAATTGGTTAGAGCAAGCACGAATCGCCGTGGATGCCGGTTCTAGTCCTGCCCGAGTCGTAAAATTTTTCAATTTTCAACATCACATCATCATGAATTAGATATTTTTAGGACTGAGTTATTTTCTCGTTTAGAATAACTCCATACTTCTCCGTTGTCTTCTCCCGTCATAAAATAATTTTGCAGTTAAAATGCGAAAGCTTTTTGCTCGCTATATTTTAAAACCCCACCGTTTATAGAAGACTGCAGCCTTTAAGTGTGACAGTGACTTTGAACACTTTTCAGACTATTAAGCGGAGATATAATATGATATATTTGAAGCTATAATATATAACCTTGCGTGGGTTCAAATTCAAGTTTTAACTAATCACAACGACGGGTTCGTTGTTCTAATGGTAGCAGTATATGCCATTTTAACGGTTTAAATTAGAAGCTCTTTCACAATTTGTAGTCTAAGTTGTTTTAAATAAAACACTGACTGTTTAAAACTCGAAACATATTAGTAAAACTTATTAAAAAATTACATTAACTACGGCCCGACGTATCGGATGCTTCGCAGGAGCCGTGGTCACGGGGGACTTTATTCGGGTTTCAAACCGTGTTTTTTTAATGTGCACTACTCGCGTAATCTGAAGACAGTATATAGTATAAAGTTTATTAGCGAAATGTTACGCGTTTTTAACAGTTAAAAGTGTTTGTAAAAAAGTACACACATAAGTTTAACTAATGTATCGCGTTTTAAACCGTTAAAGCGTTTTCTTTAAATGTGTACTACTTGCGTTAACTATAGACAGTATTTCAGTACACACTGAATAGGATAGTATTAAACCGCGAAATATTATAGTTCCACTACACTAGTTACTGGCAACTGTCCCCGCTTAAAATAAAGAGCCCTTGTTTGTTTTATATCTGCGATAAGTTTCTCTAGTTTGTTAGAAACGCTACGATTCGTTTGGCCAATAACTAAATAAAGTACAGACAATACTTAAAGATAACTTGACAAATTTAATTCGCGTTTTAAACTGTTAAAAGTGTGTCATTTAAATGTGCACAACTCGCATAAACTACAGACAATACTCACATAACTTGACAAATTAACTTTCAGCATTTCAAACCGTTAAAAATGTCATAATTGCTGCAAATTTTACACTTATAGAGTTTTACCTTTGTTATAGAGACATGCATCTTACCGTGTGTGGAGGTCGGCGTGGTCTGTGCGACGCGATGCGGCCAGCTAGTGGTTCTGACCTTCTTAGATACCTGAGGAAGGTCAATTTTACTGGTTAGTATTAAATATCCCCTACTCATACAGTCGAGTCGGTCTCGTTCATCTTAAAAAACTAATGTAAAATATAATGCCAGTGTATGGCTAATAATCGACGGGTGGGGTGGGATGGATTCGATACCTACCAGGTCAAACAAACATAACCTATTTTTATTTTTTCTAAAACATGTTGGACTTCGCCTGGAAATCGGTTTCAGTCTTCGGATTTCCAAATATCCAAAGCCAAAAAAAAAGATCAGCAACACCGGCCATATAACATCTAGGCTAGAGCCTAGATATTATATGGCCGGGGTATTTTACCTACCATCATATCGTAAAAACAATTTCTGCGCTGCCTAAGAGGTGAACAGCATTTGCTGAAAATCAGTGTTGCAGCGTAACTGTGCCGCAACTTATGCTGACGCAAGAGTCTCTTGGCATCACTTTTCATAACTTTATATTTCTTTTATTTAAAACATAGAATGCTTCGGTCGGGCAGAGCACGGAAATATATATGATAGTTTATTATAATCTCAATGTATAAGTGTAATTCCGTTAGTAGTGATCGTGTAAGTTGAATAGAAAAAAATTACACCTCGCTTGCGTTAACTCGGCCTCTGAATCAGTGTTGGGACAACAGTCCCAACGTAGCTGACTGGATTTTCAGAGGCAACTAAATCGTAGTATTTAATTTAAATATTTATTTACTTCTAGATATTGTTTATTAGATTAAGTATTATTTTTTCTGAATAAACGTATTCTGTTCTGTTCTGATCTATAGAAATCTAATCAACCTGCAAAGAATAGAATATAATAGAATAGAAGACATTTATTCGGAAACAACACAAGACATTTAACAACACAATAAAAAACATTACAAATAAAATAAAAAAAATAACTAATTACATATGTATAGACTCAGGATGGCCTGTATCAGAATCTTCCATGTTTCACGTGGGTCAGAAACTCGAACAAAGTCACAAATTGATTCTCCAATGATTTATATCTCCTTAACTTCACAGATTAACAAAATATAACGCTAACACTCTTTAATTAGGCATTGACAACGATACTAAAATTAAATCAACTTAGAAACTGTTAAAGATGACGTCGGAAGCAAGCGATTCGTCAAGTGCGTGGTACGTTGGCGGTTCTTGATTCCGAAGTGAACAAGATGGCCGCCCCGCTTCCACCGGTGTGACGTTCCGCAAGAATGGCGGCTGACAGACAGCTGACATATGTCATGCTGCCATTCTGTTCGACAGCAAACGTCAAATGTCATGTGTCGCGCCGTCATATGAAATAATAAAAAAAATAGTTGCTTCCGAAAAGGAGTCCACTCAGCTACGTTGGGACTGATGTCCCAACACTGATATTCTGTGGCCCCTTCAGAGGCCGAGCTAACACAAGCGAGATAGTTTCACATTGTGCCAATTAAGTACGTTGTACATTAACTTAACAACAACCAAATTAAATTCATTTATAGTCTACATAAACATTTAAAAAAAATTCTTAACAAAGTAGATTACTAACAATCCATGCACTTACGTTTCTTTACTAGTTTAACATATTATATGGATTATATTTACATTTCTATGACGTTTCATAAACATATAATAATTGCTAAGTTCTGTTTTCCATTCCTACCAACATTATATCCTACTTAAATGAAGGAAAACAAAAAATATATCAAAAGAGTATTACACTAATAACTTTACATTATATATATATATACTTTACCTATATTCAAATAATCAACAGATTTTTAGCAAATTTTACCTTAAATACTGTCTATAGTTTACGCGAGTAGTACACATTTAAATAAAACACTTTAACGGTTTAAAACGCGATATATTAGTTAAAGTTAAGTTAAGTTTTGCAGCAGCCATTTGCAAATAAGTTTAACTAATATATCGCGTTTTAAACCGTTAAAGTGTTTTATTTAAATTTTAACGTATTAAAAAATTAACTTTCAGCGAGCGTTTTACACAATATTCCTATTATAACATAATTTATTTTATCGGAAGATAGATGTAACATCTTCGACTTTTATAAATTTATGCTTAGCAGAAGTCGGCGTTCGACGCGCAAAGACTTGTCCATTTCTAGTCCATACACATCGCCATTTTTCACGTTTCGCCTCCTGTCGAGTCCGGAAGAATAAGTGGCGGTTATATTTTATCAGGCGCTCATTGAAGCAGCCTGTGGGAAGTGGATAGAATACCCATCAGTGAAAAGATCCAAGGGTTGGGATAATGGGGGCGTCTGTGCACCGATGGATATGAATTTTACTTTGATTTTCCAGGTCTCAGCGGTGACGAGTTCCACTTTGATGCTAATGGCGATGGACCAGCTCGCTACAACATCCTCCACTTCAAGCAGGTGGCCAAAGGCGTATACCACTGGGTAAAGGTGGGGCAGTACTTGGATGGAGAACTTCAACTTCATATTAACGGTAAGAATATCCACGATACTATGGTAGTAAAAATAGACACGGTCTCGTTGGTAGCAATGGCTAATAATCAAAGCCATAATGGGTCGACAGCGCATCGTCGGTAGATGCTATAGGCTGGGGTATCCATTAAGTAAAGCCCACGCTTATCTGCATTACTCTATCATTAAAAAACAAATCAACGCGTCGTTCTATCTCAAGGGTGCCAAGATGTTTCTAATCAAATACTGTCTGTAGTTTACGCGAGTAGTACGCATTTAAAGAAAATACTTTAACGGTTTAAAACGCGATTTATATTAGTTAAACTTGTTTACACTTTTCCCCCGTGACTACGGCTACTGCAAAGCGTACAAAATGTCGGACTGGAGTTGAAATTATTTGTGAACAAGTCATATATTTCGCGTTTTTAACCGTTAAAGTGGTGTTTAATGTGTACTACTCGCGTAAACTACAGACAATCCAGTAGTTTTTTAGTTTATTTGTTAGTAACATACTTACAAAAATATAATTATATATCTTCATAGTATTAATAAGTCAATATCAAATAATAAACTTCTAATACAAACACGTCGTAGCTAGTTACGCTATAATCTATCGGCTACGAAATGATGTATCGGCTACGGCGTAGCTGCGCTACAAGTTGCCGAGAAAAGGTTATGAAGCACAAATTATATATTTTACAACCAACCTTTTAACGGTTTAAAACGCGATTTATATTAGTTAAACTTAATTGAACATTATGTTCAACTCTGGTCCGACGATTCGGATGCGTTGCATCCGAAACGTCGGGCCGAAGTTAAAAATCATTTTCAATAAGTTTAACTAATATATCGCGTTTTAAACCGTTAAATTGTTTCATTTAAACAATTTATATTTTTTCTAAAACATGTTGGACTTCGTCTAGAAATCTGATTATTAAATATTATGATATATATAATATGAATATTTAAATTGCTTGCCTCAACCACAGATGAAAATCCGTCAAGCTTAATCGCGTTTCGGTCTGCGGATTCCCGAACATCCCAAGCTAAAATAGATCGACAGCCCATCTTGTTTAAATTTTATGTGGCTGGGATATTCCACCTACAATCAAGTGACCATGCTTATCTATTGAGTATATGGGAACATTTCTTATAAAGAACGGAACACATAAATCATACCCACCTTGTTATCTTCGACAGACAAGAATAACAACGTACTGTAACAAAGTTATAAATAGTTATTTCGATCCGAACGACGACCCAACGGACTCTGGTCACGATCTACGTAACTCCCTTAATTGGGTAAACCCCTAATTGGGGATTTTTCCCCAAAGCCCTAATTGGGAATATGGTAGTTCGAATCGCGGTACATCGATAATTAATCGTTTTTATATTCAAATAAAACAATTTAACGGTTTAAAACGGGATGAATATTAGTTTAACTTATTATTCCTTCATATCAAAACTAAATACTGTCTGTATTTTACGCGAGTAATACACGTTTAAATAAAACACTTCAACGGTTTAAAACGTAATTTATTATTTTATTAACAAATTATAAAGCTTATTTGTGTTTTTACGATCTATAGTTTTTATGAATCTTTTAACGGTTTAAAACACGATATATATTCGTTAGACTTAATTTGTCTCTCCGTGACCATCGGCTGATATAAGGCATCCGAAACTTTGGGTCATAGTTAAACAAATTTTTAAATAAGTTGAACTAATATATACCGCGTTTTAAACCGTTAAAGTGTTTTATTTAAGTGTGTACAACTTGCGTAAACTACAGATAGTAATGGATTATTAAATTATGTATCATTTCTCTCTTGTCTCAGAAATTCAATTCAAATGGGGAGAAAGGAAACCACCAGAGTCTGTCTGCAGCGCTGAATGTGACCTGGGTCAAGCCAAGCAGTATGTGGAAGGAGAAAGCTGTTGCTGGCATTGCTTTAACTGCACGCAGTATGAGGTGAGGTATCTTTTCAATCTATACTCTATACTCATATAAAAAGCTGAAGAGTTTGTTTGTTTGAACGCGCTAATCTCAAAAACTACCGGTACGAATTGAAAAAGTATTTGTGTTGATTTGAGTCTTTATCAAGGAAGGTTAAGGCTATAAAACATCGCGCTGTGACTAATAGAAGCGAAAAAACAGCGGGAAATGTGAAAAAAAGCGGAGAAACTCTATAGGTTTATATAGGTTTCCGATGCGTACGCTGCGAAAAGGTTTCAAGAGACCCAACATTTATGTACGAAAGATCTATCCCCCTTTAAATGATCGAAAAGAGAAGAAGTCCGCGACGTTTTATGTCTACATTTTAAGATTAACTTGCAAAAACAAATGTGGATCGTGTGCGATCGAAGCCACTGGCGATGCTAGTAATTAGTAAGAGACACAATACAATTTTAAAATAACGTCGTTTGTGTAAGGCATAAGTAATTATTTACAACTAGCTGTGTCAGCGACTTCGTCCGCGTAGAATACTTCAAACAAACAAACTCGTCAGCTTAATATATTAGTATAGATTCATAAGGGGATTATTTTATTATATACTAGCTGTGCCAGCGACTTCGTCCGCGAGAATCGTTATTTTGGGCATCCATTTTCGTTTTTGCAATCTTCATAAAATTAAGTTACCCACGACGTCAGTCGCATCCCTTTCCGTCGCTCTAGCAAGTTAATCTTAACAGATAGACATAGCGTCGAGGACTTTTTATTAGATAACTTAAAGAGGAATCATTCTTTAATATATATTTTTGGTGTATCTTGAACCGTTTTCGCAGCGTACGCCTCGGAAACCCATAATAATGAATAATTTTGCCAAATTTTTACACATTTCTCGGTGTATCTTCGCTTGTATTAGTCACGGGGCTTTTTCAATTCGAACCAGTAGTTCCTGATATTAGCGCGTTCAAACAAACAAACTCTTCAGCTTTATATATTAGTATAGATATAAATTGATATTCTCTGTTAACCTAGAAATACCTGACGGCCGATTTCTTACATTTTCAAAGTAAATTTTCCTCCCTTGTATATAATTGAATCAAAATCGAAGCCATCAATCACTAACATAGCCGTATTAAATATTCATAGAACGAAAATTGTTATTGTCCTTTAGTGACGAATAACAGTTCTAGCATTTAGGCTTTTCTTTAAAAATAGATTAGATGTAGGCTCTATTTTATCTTAAGTCCTATCTAAGCACCGGCTGTAGTTTACGCGAGTAAAACACTTTGTATAAAAAAAAATTAACGGTTTAAATCGCGAATAAAAATTAGTTCTCCCTTTCTTGAACTCTGATCCGATGCTATGTAGTGGTGGTCGCGTGGGCACTAGAGATGGGCGTCACTACGCAATTCAACATGTTTCAGAAAAATTGTATATTAAAAAATTTAAAACACGTTACATTACAATTAGACAGTGGAGGCTGTAAAACACTTTTAACAAAATAATGATGTTATAGATCCGGTCCCCATTTGTGGAGACGGCGTGCATGGTTTGCCCGCGCGGGACCCTGCCCGACCTCACGAGGACTAGCTGCCGGCCGATACCAGAAGTATACCTTCGACCCGACTCCGCGTGGGCCATCGGAGCTATGTCATTTTCATCTGTGGGAATATTGTTGACGGCGTAAGTTATATTCTGTGTCATCATTAAAAATGGCGCAAATTGCAGCAACAGCTGAGTGACGCAGCAAAGTTATAGTATGTTATTTTAACCCGTTTATGTGTTTTCTTATATAGTTGCATATATATGTATATGTTGATGTCTGTATGTGTTAATACTGTCTATAGTTTATGCGAGTAGCACACATTTAAATAAAACTCTCTTGACTGTTTAAAACTGATAGATAGCACTTATGAACAATAAATACAATACTGTCTATAGTTTACGCAAGTAGTACACATTTAAATAAAACACTTTAACGGTTTAAACGCGATATATTAACTATTTAAACAATAAATACATTAAAATAAAACAGTTTTAACGGTATAAAACGTTAAATATATTGACACTTTTGTTTTAACTATGGCCTGGCGCTTCGGATGCTTTGCAGCAGCAGTGTCACGGGGTTCAATTCAAAATAGGTAAACTAATATATTTCGCATTTTAAACAGTTATTAGTGTTTTATTTAATGTATACTACTCGCGTATACTATATACAGTACCTACCTAAGATGTCGACCTATTTTTCTTTCGGATATTCGGAAATGCACAGATTGAAAAGAAATTAGAAAATGACTGACGTTAGGGACACACTCCGTCTTAAGTCCTCTAAGGACTAATGAATGTTACGATAGCGTTACGTCGGGCCGTAGTGAAAAAAAAATTGTCTGCCAATATATTTCGCGTTTGAAACCGTTAAAAATGTTCTCTTTATAGGTCGACGTCTCCTTTAGATGTTATATGACTGAAGTATTTCGCCTCATAGTTAAGATTATGCTTGTCTGCACTCTGTTCTATCTGTTTCTAGAATTCTGTGCCCGACCGAAAAATAACTTTATTTAGGATTCGAACTCATATTAGCACATAACGGAATACTACACAACACGTGCAACCATCTGACTGTAGAGGATGTCTGATTTTGACTGACACTGAATTTGAGGCCGCTAGAGGCAGAGTAGCCCAACTGAAATTTTCTGACGTGACTTACTTATATTTTAACAGTCTAAAAATGTTAATCTACAAGAGCACAGTGACCCAAAATTGTTAACATCATTCTTACAGAAATAATAGTACAAATTCATTTTCGCCTAAGTTGATTGCGCGTTTTTATTTTCCTTCTTATTGAAAATCATGGTTTTTGTCGTTAAGCCACTCTGTCTCTAGCCGCCTCAGTTTTTGGCTAACATAGTCGCTCGTTAAAAATGGTTACACTGAAAAATCTTTCAGTAGTAACGAACTGCCAATCGCTAGAGTGATGGCATAGCCGGATTTTCGATCATAGTGTAACTTTCGCTTAGTAGAAGATTTATCGACCCACCACACAGATGCTGATATTGGATCGGTGTGGTGGGCCAAAAATCGGTGTACAAGTAAAATAAAATCTCCTATTTCGATTGATGCTGGCTATAGAAATATCCTTTGAAAAGTCTAAAAATCTAAAACAAATTTCGCCTGACTAGAGATTCGAACCGGGGAACTCTCTATTTATTGTGAAATGTCTCTGTGTACGTGATTAGCCTGAATGTATTTTACCAAAGCAGTACACGTCTAATAAAACTTTTTTAATAAAAACGACGAAAAAATTTGTAAACAAAACTAACTTTTGAATAAAACACGTTTTAACGGTTCAAAAGGCGTAGAATAGTTGACTCAATTCTAAATTATAATCACCAGAGCCAGAGAAAAGAAGAGCATTTGGATTGTAGGGGCGTAGTCAAAATAATTTAACTCAACTAACATACTTCGAGTTTTTAACGGTTAAATATGTTTCATTTAAACTCGCATAAACTGTAGACAGTATTCAATATGTTATTATTAAAATTTTGATGTATTTGTATTTCTTTTCATCTAACTTGTTAAGGTTTTTGTTAATAAATAAATATTAATAATATCCAAAGATAGGATAGCGCATTCAGTTAAAATGTTATATTATTACTTCAGACAACCGAAAATGATTGTTTATTTAGATTTTTAGAAGCGTGAAATAACAATTTGCAAAGTTTGATTGAAAATAAACTCGGACAGACTAAGTTGAGTTTGGTAATCAGAAATAGGCTTTAAGTAATTAATAATTCAAATTTAATTTTCTTTTAAAGCATTATTATTTACTAGCTTCGCGTGGAATGTTTATTTTGGGCATCGACATTTGTTTTTGTAATAATTCTCGCCTAAGCTGTTCGCACATCGGTCGCGTCCCGTAGTTCTCTCAAGTTAATCTTAAAAGATAGACATATAGTGTCGCGGACATTTTTTTAGACAATTTCAAGAGGAATCATTCTTTCATACATTATTCTTGTGTATCTATAACCGTTTTCGCGAAAACGGAAATCCACATATATGAAGATTTTTTTCACAATACGCGCTGTTTCTTCGCTGCAGCGCGATGTTTTATAGCCTATAATATTCCTAAAAAAATGCGCAAACCAACACAAAAAACATTTTTCAATTCGTATCAGTAGTTCCAGAGATTAGCGTGTTCAAACAAACAAACTCTTCAGCTTTATATATTAGTATAGATATATATATATATATAAAATATTAAAATATTAGAAATTTCTAAAAAATATATATCGGGCGGGACTTGCAACTTGAAAGCGTGGGGTGTTTTTCCCGTGGGGCATGGGGGGAACACATTTCAGTCGTTTTTATTAATATAAATTAAGTTTAGTTAAGTTTTATTTATCGATCACATTTCTGTATCGTACCCGATTTAAACAATATATTTTCCCCGAGATTCGAACCCCATACCTATCGTGAGCTTTATATACAAATGAAACCACTTTAAACGGTTTAATCGCGACATATGTTAGACTTATTTTCTTACCGATTTATTTTTAACTACGACCCGACTTTCAGATGCTTTGCAGCATTAAACCGTTAAAAGTGTTTTATTTAAATGTGTACAACTCGCGTAAACTACAGACAATACTTTAATTTATAAGTCAAGATGTATATTTCGCGTTTTAAACCGTTAAAATTTATTTTATTTTTACAGATTTGTCTACGGTGTATGGGTGAGACATAGTTCTACTCCAGTAGTCCGCGCTAGTGGAAGAGAACTGTCTTACGTTCTTCTAGCTGGTATCCTCATGTGCTACTTGGTTACCTTCGCGTTGGTGTTCAGACCGACAGACATGCTGTGCTCTTTGCAAAGGTGAGACAAGAAAACTCTAATTATTACTAGCTCAAAATGTATTTTTGCAAACCTCCTCAGCTTTATAAATTATAGCTTTTATCCACAACGACGTCCGTGTCTCAACGTTCTTGCGAGTTAATCTTAAAAGATAGAACTTTTAGGTGTGTGGTTTCTTGAACCGTTTTCGCTGCGCACGCAACGAAAGCCAAATATTAATTATTAATTTTAACATTGGTATAATAGAGGTAATAATATAAGTAATACTAATGAATTTTAATAGTATTAGTAATATTATTAACAGTTCTCCCCGTTTATTCCACATTTGCCACTGTCGCTTCTATTCGTCGCAGCTCGATCGCTAAATGGTGTAACAAACGCGTTAAATGGCTGGAGTACTTCACCATCTAATCGAAAAATTCTTGTTTATTTGTTTGTTTGAACGCACTAAGCTCAGGAACTATTGGTTCGAATCTAATTATCTTTTTCTTGTATAGACCATTTATCTTTAAGACTTTAGTCTATACATAGAACATATCTAGGATAAATTCAATGTACACTAGGTTAAGTCTAATGTAAGCCATTATATAAAGAATTTTAAAAATAAAAAAAATCAATAGGAGCGAAAAATTTGTGGAAATTGTGAAATAAACGCTGAAAACCGCCATCGTGGGTTACCGTAGCAGCGCTGCGTAGGTCTATCTTACATAATTGCTTCGCAACCATTTTCGTGGTAAATAAATTTGGAAGAATAAATACAGATTACTGCCTGTAGTTTACGCGACTAGTACACAATTAAATAAAACACTTTAACGGTTTGAAACGCGACATATTACAGTTAGACTTGTTTGAAAATTATATCCGACGTTTCGGATGCTTTGCAGCAGCTGTGACGTCTCCCCGTGAGCACGGCGGCTGCAAAGCATCCGAAACGTCGGGCAGTAGTCAAAAATAATTTTCAAACAAGTTAATTGGTATATATCGCGTTTTAAACCGTTAAAGTGTTTAATTTAAATGTGGCCGAAATTAATATATTACCAATTATTAGTTCGATTTGTATCAACATCAATGCAGTTTTGAGTCGAAAAAACACAGATAACAAAATATCAGTTGGGAAAAGTAAAATTAACTTACACTTTTTTAGGTTACTTTTTGAATGGACGCTAATTCTGTCGTTAAACCGTTTCATGTGATATTTCTATTCAAACGAACTCACAAAGAGCATTCATTCCGACTCTATTTGTATGAAATATGAAAGCATTTGGTCCAATGGAGAGAATTATTAGAACTCAATTCATTCTCCTTGGGAAATAGTTCGCTTTGCCACACTATACGGACTCAAAGACTGACACGTTAATTGTAAAGTTAAAAATCATTAGAATAATATTTAAATAAAATAGTTTAAAGCGAAATATTTTAGTTAACTTGTTTACAATTTATTTTAAATACGGCCCGACGTTTGGGATGTAAATACCGAAGCCGTCACATAAGGACATATCCCACAACTAATATATTTCGCGTTTCAAACCGTTCAAGGTGCTTAATTTAAATCTTTACTACTCGCATACAATACTTATTTTGAATAACTTCTATACATACAAAAGAAACTTAGTTAAAGAGTATGTACCTATAATTTAAAAATCGAAAATAAATTGAAAATATGTTCGACTCGGGCAGGACTTGAACCGGCATCGTCAGCGTTCCGTGCTGTTGCTCTACCAATTGAGCTACCGAGTCCTACACCTCATCGTCGAATTTTTTCAACTTATTGATGCATGCACCTCTCTCGCAATGTAATTTCAACCTTAACACTTACGTATTAAAGTTCAACGTCTTATGCTTTAAAACTGAAGAGTTCGGTTGTTTGTTTGCTGAACGCGCCAATCTCAGTAAAAGTTAGTTAGTGGTTAGAAGTAAAAATGTATTTTTTTGTCGTTTAACCATTTATCGCGGAAAGCTATACGCTATTAAATATCAAGCTGCGACCAAAAAGCGAAAAAAACAGTTTGAAACGTGAAAAAAACGGGGAATTCATCTTTGAGGGTTTCCGTTGCGTGCGCTGCGAAAACGGTTCAAGGTACGCAACAAATATGTACCTATAAAATAATTATACTTCTTTTAATCATTTTAAAATTACCCACGACAGTATTGTTTTTTATCCTATCGGGGACACCTGTGGTAGGACGGGTGATCAGTCCACGTTATCAGCTGACCATTTCACCCATTCCCCCATTTCCTCCTTGTAGAGATTTTGGGTCATCCAACTCTCCCCGTGTCCCCTTCAAACCTTCCAGTTTGATTGCAGAATCTTATTATTTTTTCCGTCTGTAGTTCTTTGATGTCATCTTCTGTAACTTCGTCCGAGCCCATATGCATTTGTCTTAGCCTCGAGTACGCAGAGCATTCAGTGAGTAGATGGATGCCTGTTTCCTCACTTTTTCTGCACTGCCCCTATGTCCATAGGGGGTCGCTACCTATTCCTATCATTGTAAGATGTCTGTTTAGACGGCAATGTCCTGTTATGATTACTACGATGAGTCTGATATTCGCTCTCGTTAGTCTCATCAGGATTCTGGTCTTATTTTTATCTAAGCTATGTATGAACATTTTCAAGATTCTTTCTTCAAGAGCTATCGTTTAAGATTAACTCTCAATTAAGACGGGACGCAGACAATGTTGTAGATAACATCTTTAATTTTATATTAGCTATGCCAAAATAAGTAATATTATAAGAGTGTTATAATGGCATTTCATTATAAAATAATATTTTCTTTTTTAGATTCGGGACTGGCTTCTGTTTCACCGTTGTGTACGCGGCCTTACTCACGAAGACCAACAGGATATCCCGGATATTCAACGCAAGCAAACACTCCGCTAAAAGGCCGATTCTCATCTCTCCTAGCTCACAGCTGGCGATATGTGCTGCTCTTGTGTCTATACAGGTAATGTCCATGGAATTAGTAGCTTATAAAAAGGGGGGGAGCTCTTTTTACACAACTGTTTTTATGATACAGGGAGACAGAGAAGAATGAGATTTAAATACTGTGTATAGTTTACGCGAGAAGTACACATTTAAATAAAACACCGTGGTCACGGGGCGGTCTCCCCGTGACCACGGCTCCTGCAAAGCATCCGAAACGTCGGGCCGTAGGTTAAAAATATCATTTTCAAATAAGTTTAACTAATATATCGCGTTTTAAACCGTTAAAGTGTTTTATTTAAAATGCAAGTAGTTGATCAGACTTCTGTGCCCTGCCCGACCGAAACATCTTTTTCGTTGGGATTCATAACCATAACCTTTCACGCGTAACGCAATGCTAGGCAATACGTTTAACCATTTGGCTATAGAGGCGGTCGGGGATAGATGGGGCGTGGGACGTTCATTTCAAACATAAGTAGAGTCAAAAGAACGACACACAACAACGACGAGAACTTAATGTTGGGAAAATATATTTATATTTAAACATATTTATTTTTAAATAAGTTGAACCAATATATCGCGTTTTAAACCGTTAAAGTGTTTTATTTAAATGTGTACTACTCGCGTAAACTATAGGCAGTATTTAAATATATTTATAGGATAACATTAATTTTATTTTTTTATGTAGGTCTTTTTATTTTCAAAGTCTATAAAACTTTGATTGTAATACTAGAAACTTAAATGAAACAGTTATAACGGTTTAAATTTCGAAATATTTTGAAGATATGCTTCGAAACGTCAGGCTGTAGTTAAAATAATAGAAAGTTATATATAAGTTAATATATTACGCGTTTTAAACCGTTATAAGTGTCTTACTTGCATTCTTAATTACACAAACTGTCATTTGATATATTGTATTTATTTTATACAGCTTTGTTATTTATATACCACATAAACTACAAAAGATAAAAAACTTACGTACTAACTTAAAAATAAAAGGCCTTATCACTAAGCAGAGATCTCTTCCAGGCAACCTGAAGTACCCACAAAAAAAGGGCTTATAGGGGGTTAGGCTTAGTAAGTTATTGTATTTTGACAAGACTAAATAATTTACTTATTAAATGTCAAGTCGACCCGTTACCCAGTGTCTAAATAACAAGTTCGAAACTGGATAAATATTAATAATATGTCGTATTTAAAACAGCATAAATGTAAAATGTTTTATTTGAGATATTTTTAATTTGCGAAATATTTTCTCTATACAAGTTTTAATTAATAAATAAAATACACCCGGATATTTTGTCAAAATCGCTTCGATGTAAACATGGCCGCTGGCTGTTGTCAAACTTGGTTTCGCGCCAAAATCGAATATTGTAGCTTGTCCACAGATTAATTAAACTCTATTATTCACGCGCTAATGTCTCAGTTTCGCTTTGGAATGTGTTTAATGTCATTCCTAATAGATTACAGATTATAAATCATTATATTAAACAAACGATGACAGTTTGTACATTGACTAAAAGTAAAAAAATAAAGCGTATATTTCTTACATTAATACACGCATTATTTTATCGAATAAAATACTTTGAACTTTTTTAAATGCGAAATATATCTTTTCTATATATAAAACTAATTCTTTAACACGACCTGATGTATAGCTTCAGGTCGAGTCGTAGTTAAAAATAAGTTAAGAAATATAAATCGCGTTTTGAATGGTTAATAGCTTTATACGCAATAAAAACATGTTTGTATTTAATAAAACACTTTTAACTGTTTCAAATGCAAAATATATTTTTAACAAATTTCTTAACACGTTTTTTGTAACCACGCCTGCTGCATAGCTTCCGAAACGTCGAGTCGGAGTAAAAAATAAGTTAGCGAATATATTTTAAGTTTTAAACCGTATCTATCGTTGGACTTATACATTGGACATATTGAACGAAACACTTTTAACTGTTTCAAACGTGAATTAAATTTTTCAACAATTTTTAAATACAACCACACTCGTTGGGTGACCACAGCTACTACTCGATGTGCTGTATAGCAGCACATCGAGTAGTAGTTAAGAAAAGTTAGCGAATATATTTCATGTTTTAAACCGTTAATAACGTTTGACTAATACACAATCATTGCATTTAATATAACACTTTTGACAGTTTCAAACGTGAAATATATTTTTAACAGATTTTTCAACATGACCCGACGTTTACCGCAACCATATGAACAGCAATAACATAACATGTACAGCATATCCAAAGTGAACAATTAGAAAGCGAATATATTTCGCGTTTTAAACCGTTTGACATATACACAATACAGATTGTATTACTCGAGCGCAGACGATACTTAATCTATTGCCGGAAACCAATCACTCCCCAACCATTTACTACGTTTTCTCATCAAGCTCAGCCTAAAAATATTAATCAATCTTGCTTTGTTTAAAATTAACAGACTAAACGTTTATTCGTTATCCCAAAGCAGGCGTCTACTTTACTCTCTGCGTAATTAATTATCCTGACCCGTTAAACCCCGTTCGGACCTTTTCTGTCGGGCTCATATTTTGTGCAGTATTTTCCAACAATCTATTGTTCGCAATAACGCTTGTCAAAAGATAAACCGTCCGCAGTTGACGCGAGTTTATTTTTGAGTTTATTATTTCCGAATATCCAAAATCAAAATAGATCAACAGCGCACCGTATTTAGATGTCATAAAACTGGGGTACTTCAAAAGAACTCCACAAAACACTATTAACGATATATATCATTTAACTACATTAAATATTTTACTATGCTTTGACGTTTCCTATGCTCTGTTTGAGTGATGTGCACTATAGATGGGCGACTACGTCACCAATGTCAAAGTCATAGCTACGCTAGCGCCATCTGTTTCGTCGTTCGTCCTTGTTGCGATTTTTAGACTGTACAAACAGTTACAGTAATAGGGTTCTCTTATATTTTCTAGGTACGGAACCTCAGACTTTCCACTTAGTTAACGGCATCATAAAATGTATTTTTAACGACTCCGTATCTTTGAATTAGTTTTGCGCTTCAGTAATCTTTAGTTACACGCCTGAGGGTATTATAATATGATGGTTTATGAGCGGTTCGGGATGGCGTTATCCGCTACGGTGCTATTACTTTAATTGCATTTTATTGTTGGGTTAACTCAATATCTAAAGTTTATCCGCGTCTTGAATAAAACCGCAAAGCAGAACGCGAGTTTACGCTAGTAATACACATTCAAATAAAACATTTTTAACCGCTTAAAACGCGTGATTTTTTCCTTAACATCTTTGAATAAAACCCTTTAACGTATCAAAATGCGAAATATATCAGTTAGTTAAATAGTGGCCGTAGTTTACGCGGGTAGTATTACATTTAATGTGATTTTACACATTAAATGGTTTAAAACGTGAAATATATTAGTTAAACTTTTTTACAAATTATTTTAACTACGGCCCGTCGTTTCAGATGCTTTTCAACAGCCGCAGTCAAGTATATTCCCGTGGGCTGAAAAGCATCTGAAACGTCGGGATAAAATAACATATAAATTACAATAAAGTTTTCACATGTGTGAAGTCTTCCAAAAAAATGTTTACACTACAAATTTAAGATTTGGACATCGACAGCGTTCCGTGCTGCTACTTTAACCAATGTTAATACAAGTTTAATTGATATAAATCCATCATGTGCAAAATAATTTTAAACAGTTTTAAAATGTGTGAATTCTTCCAGGTGTTAATAGTAGTGGTATGGATGATAGTGGCACCAGCAAAAGCCATGTACCACTATCCAACACGGGAGGACAACATGCTCGTATGCGATTCTTATGTGGACGCGTCCTATATGATAGCGTTCTTCTATCCCATTGTGTTGATCATCGTCTGCACGGTATACGCTGTTCTCACAAGGAAGATTCCAGAAGCATTTAACGAAAGCAAACACATAGGTGAGTAATCATCAATATTTCCGTTTCCGGTGTCACAAGCCACCCGATATTGTTATTACGACGGGTTCATTGGTCTAATGGTAACAATATATCGGTAATAATCAACGGCTCGTGGTCACGATCCCCACCAGGTCCAACATGTTTAAAATTGTTCAATTTATAATTTTTCTGAAACATGCTGGACTTCGTCTGGAAACCTAGATATCAAATGAGTCACGAACCACCGTCCACAGATGAAAAAGCCGTGAAGATTTCAGTCTGTGCATTTCTGAATGTCCTAAACCAAAAAACATCCGCCATCTAGTTCAGACCTGCCATTCTTCCAAAACGTTCGTGAAACGGACGGAATTCCGTTATTTCTCACGCCACTTAATAACCAAATTTCCGGACGTATTCCATGTTTCACAAAAAAACATAAATTGAGAAATATGTTGTTCCTTTTTTTATGTATAATTATAAATGTGTTAAACAAATATTTGGGCGCGTCGTGCGGATCGAATTCACGACCCGTTGACTAATAGGAACCGTTGGCTACTATAATCCTTTCAAAGTCCTCAAAATAAGTACTCTGTCTGTCTGTTACTCTTTCACGCCAAAACTACTGAACGGATTTAAATGAAATTTGGTACACATATGGTCTAGACCCTGAGAAAGAACATAGGCTTTTTATTGCGAAAAGGGGTAAGGGGTTGAAAGAGGGGATGAAGTTTGTATGGAAATTCGTGGTCTTTTGAAGCAAGATCAATGAAACTTTCTTCAGGAGTGGGAGTAGGAGTGGAATTGGGAGTGGCAGTGGGAGTTGGAGTAAGAGTTATGTGAGGTGAGAGTGTTGCGGCAAAGTAGCACTTACAACATAGATTGGCTGCGCTAATGCGTAACATAAATTAATACAAAGCCTAAATAATTAAAAATTCTACTCCAAGTCACTATTCCACGCGGACGAAGTCGCGGGCACAGCCAGTAAAGAAATAATGCAACAACGTGAAAAATACTAATATATCAAGTCATTTCAATAGTGGCGTTTGAGTTGACTTATTTTCTCATAATTGTTGTTCAAATTCGTATAAGCTTCCGTGAAGAAAGAAGAGAGAAAAAATACTTGATTTCTTTATTGTTTAGCCTGCACTTAACCCTACGTAATCTTGTGATAAAATATTCACCACTCTTTAACGGAAAAAGTAAATTGCTGGTATTGTTTTATTCAGTACATAGTATGTAACGAAGTCGCTTTTTCAGTCCCTATGTGCGCTTATATCTTTAAAACTACGCAACTGATTTTGATGCGATTTTTAATAGACAGAATGATTCAAGAGGAAGGTTTTCCTGTAGTGTATTTAGTATCAGCAGTGCACCCGAGCGAAGCCAGGGTGGGTCTCTAGTATTTAAATAAAACACGGTTCAAAACGCGATATATATTAGTTAAACTTATTTGAAAAAGATTTTAACTATGGACACGGGGAGAATAAAGATGGAGAGTGTCTCTAATGTCTAAGTAAAAACTACTACGCTAGCGCCGTCTGTTTCTTCGTAGTACGTATTTGGCGAAATTTATCAAATAAGTTGGGGGGGGGGGGGGGGGGGGGAGGGGGGGGGGGGGAAAAAAAAAGGGGGAAAAAAGGGGGGAGTTTAAAAAAAGGGGGGGGGAAAAAAAAAGTGAAAAAAAAAAAAGGGGGGAAAAGGGGGGGAAAAGGGGGGGGGGGGAAAAAAGGGGGAAAAAAAAAAGGGGGGGGGCGGGTTCCCGGGGGGGGGGGGGGTGGGGGGAGAGAAGGGTCTGCAAAGATCTTGTTAAGTTATATGGCTGTGGTATTTTACCTCACATCAAGGTAAAGTGTTACTTGATAATTTATTAAAATATTCCTATTCAGACACCTCGCTCCCGCCAACCATTGTTTTGAACTCCCTTTGTTACATGAGGACATAACATTTTTCTGAAACGGCTACAATTTAATCTCGCTAAAACACTAGACGGGTATTTTAATAAATTGCCCTCAACTGTTGAGTACTGGCTGTTGATTATATTTTTTGAAAGTACGGAGTAAAAACCATCTATAGTCTATACATTGGTATAGACTATAGATGGTTAAACATTGGTATAGACTATACGTGGTAAAAACCATCTATAGTCTATACATTGGTATAGACTATAGATGGTTAAACATTGGCATAGACTATACGTGGTAAAAACCATCTATAGTCTATACATCGGTATAGACTATTGATGGTTAAACATTGGTATAGACTATACGTGGTAAAAACCATCTATAGTCTATACATCGGTATAGACTGTTGATGGTTAAACATTGGTATAGATTATACGTGGTAAAAACCATCTATAGTCTATACATTGGTATAGACTATAGATGGTTTTATATATTGATATAAAGCTGAAGAGTATGTTTGTTTTTTTTGTACGCCCTAATCTCAGGAACTACTGGTTCGAATTGAAAAATTCTAATGTTAGTAAGAGTATTTAAGAAGGCTATAGGTTAAAAAACATTGCTCTGTGGTTAATAGAGGCGAAGAGACAGCGGGACATGAGGAAACAACGGGATAAATTATATACCTTCGTGGGCTTACGTTACCGTACCATAAAATAATGTTTGAAAACATGATTCCTCTTTAAGTGATCTAAAAAAATGTCCGCGACACTATATGTGTCTTTAAGATTAACTTGCAAGAACAGAACGCGACCGAAGTGGTGGGTACCAGTTCAAATCTATAGAGATGAAGAGGAGGTCTGTAAAAACAAACTTTGACGCTAAAATAAGTAAGCTAGTTACTAATATTCTTTACGTCATTTCGCATCCCATCGGGTCTAATTTGAACTGTTTTCTTTAGAAAACTATTTTTGATTTCGTACATGCGATTTGACGGGCGTGTCGGTTTAATGGTAGCATGACAACTGGTGTTCGTTTTGATGGCCACAGGTTTGTCAAATTAAAAACGCTTTGAAACATATTGGACTTCGTGGAAATCTGATTATTAAATGGTATGTAGAATATCGAAATTCCGTACGTCACGAACCACCGTCCGTCCGTCAACCACAGATAAAAAGTTGAACTTAGATCACGTTTCAGATTTCGATATCCAAAGCCAAAATAGACAGCCCATCTTGTTTATATGATATATCATACCAGAAAGCACTCATCTGGTTCTTACACCATCAATTGTCTTAGTTGCTAGTTTGAGCTGTTTACAATTGAAACATAATCCCTCTATCATAACGTATTGTTTGACGAGACTGTTTGTTGTGATTGACAATCGATAAACGTAATTATAGATCTCGCTTAATTGTTTACCTATATTAAGCACACGGAAGGATTAGTGCCAATTGGAAGATAGCTGCTAGACAACATAGCAAGTGTGCTAAGATGCTAACCACGTGACCAAACGAATTTATGTTAACGTGTCGTCAATAAGACTCTCTTTTCTCCGTTTTATTCCACTAGTTCTTCGCTTTTGATGGCCGGAGCCGAATGTTTTTGTATGTTTAAGCCTTCCTCGATAAATGTTCTACCTAACAAGACAATATTTTTTCAATTCGAACCTGTAGTTCCTGAGATTAGCGCGTTCAAACAAACTTTTCGGCTTTATATATTAGTATAGATAAGTATTTAATAATCGAGCCTGAGTTTGTGGCATTAATTTTATTTCGGCCATTAATCTTGCCATAAAGTTAGAAATCTGACAGAAATTAATGATTTATTTACGAGGATTGTGTAGTCAATGGATTATCGGTGTTTAAGTTCTTGGATTGATTTATCTCTGCCCCCACGTGGGGCAGATACATTTGTGTCTATCACTGATCGCTTATAAGCAAGAAAATTAAATACATATCGAGTTTAGCTTGAAAAATTACGCAGGACTTGAATCGACACCCACAGTGTTCCGTGCTGTTGCTCTAACCAATTGACCAACCGTTTCGTGGTCAGAGTGGAGACGATCTTGTGAACATTGTATTGTATTTTTTCAATAATAATAACAATCTTCGAATTGTATGTTTTAATTCCCCCTTAGACTTTAAAAATACTAAACTAAACTATATTTTTCGTTTAATTACCGTTTTATATATTATATTTAATTTTGCAAAAGTTATTTTCGGGCTTAATTGAAATGAAACACGTTAACGGGTTTAAACGCGAAGTTTAATTATTAAACTTATTTCAAAATCATCATAATTACGGCCCGACGTTTCGGATGCTTTGCAGCAGCCGTGGTCACGGGGAGACTATGTAAGGTGTGATGGTGCAAGCTAGCGCCATCTGTTCCGTCGTAGGTAGTTGGTATTTGACGATACGGGTAAACTTTGTTTAACTAATATCGCGTCTTAAACCGTTAAAGTGTTTTATTAAAATGTGTACTACTCATATAAGCTACAGACATAACGCCCCCCTCTCCGTTAAGACCTTTAAGGCAAAATTTCGCGTTTCAAACCGTTTAAAATGTTTTATTTCATTTTGTAAAACTTATTCTCAGGCTTCACGATGTACACGACTTGTGTGATCTGGCTTGCCTTCGTCCCGCTGTACTTCGGAACCGCCAGCCACGTGCCACTCCGAATCACCAGCATGGCTGTTACTATTTCTCTCAGCGCGAGCGTCACTCTCGTTTGCCTATTTTCCCCAAAGGTAAGATGATGATGACGGTGATGAGGCATCCGATGTATTCTTGCAAATGTGTTTTGCTACAGGGACTCGATAATTGATAAAATGAATAATAAATTTATTAACTGTATTTTATGAAAAAAAAATATACTATTTTTTATTAATGATTATTGAATATAATATATAATGTGTGAAAACTTTAATATTTTTCAATATATGAATTAAAAATCGATGATAAATGAAAAAGTACGACTCGCGCACGATTGTACCCGGCATTCTCAGCGTTCCGTACTCAATTGGTTATAGCAACCGCACGGAGGCCGGTTCAAGTCCTGCCTGAGTCACATTTTTTTTTTTCAATTTTTCATCCATTTTTAATTCATATATATAATCAACGTGAGGGCCAGAGAAGCCAGACTAATTGGCACGGTAACGCGTTACGTTACAAACACGAGTATACACAATCACCCCTTCAAATTATTTTTGTCTTTTTGCATGTTGCATATGCGCAGCGATAGCAATAGTACACAGTCGGGTTTCGAATCACAGACCATTATCAAAAGGCATAAAAATAACTATCCTTTTTATTATATCGACTAGCTCTAAATAAAACACTTTAACGGTTTAAAACGCGATATATTAGTTAAACTTATTTGAAAATGATTTGAGTCTCCCCGTGACCACGGCTGCTGCAAAGCATCCGTAACGTCGGGCCGAAGTTAAAAATCATTTTCAAATAAGTTTAACTAATATATCGCGTTTTAAACCGTTAAAGTGTTTTATTTATATGTGTACTACTCGCGTAAACTATAGACAGTATTCGACTAGCTCTCTTCAGTATATTCAGCTCAGCAACTAGAAAATCTCTTTCCAATATATTAATGGTCGTCGTTATGCAAGGATGTAGCAAGAAAGGTGAAAGTATTCGCAACCGATATGGAGCTTTGTAAACATTAACAAATAACGATCCATTAACATTTCAGCTGTACATAATCCTGATACGACCGGAAAGGAACGTCCGTCAGAGCATAATGCCGGTCCGGTATAGCCGGAAACCAATCGCACAACCCATGCCACTCCCAGCTACCAAAAGTGAGTCCTTGCATTAATAATATACTAAGTAATGTTGGCTTAGCTAGTCAAGTAAATAAGTATGTTAAATCATGGCTGAAAATGTTTTAACAAGGTAGACGATAAATTTAAATAAATTACTTTTAACAGGTTAAAACGCGAAATGTAGTAACTAAATATTTTCACTACGGCCCGACGTTTTGGATGCTTTGCCGTAAGATGGATGGAATGCATGGTTACAGGGAAACTACTGCAGGTGTCTCATTTTAGTAAAGCTGCTAACCCCACCTGATCCGTAATACTTTGTATACTTACTTACGGTCCTTCGCGTGTATAAGTTGAAAAATACATTTCGCGTTTTAATTTGTTAAAAGTATATTAGTCACTACTCACGTTTGCTACAAACAGTATTAGAGAAACAATGTTTCTCAAATATTTAAACTTTTATACAGTATATATACAAACAATTAACTATTTTTAAAACATTTGATTTACTTATTCCTATAAATACTATAAACTGCTAAAATTCTCGTCATACTATTTTAATAACGCAACTCAAAACTATGTCTAGTCTTCCCAAAAAAAAGCACTACCTATTTTTTTGTTTTCGAAGGTAGAGAATTTGTTTATTTATTTGCACACAGGTTTTACATATTTAGTACACATCTGTTAAAACTAAAATCTATACAAACTAGTGATAGTGATAAAAAGATTTTCCCTATTTCAATTACAATATTTTCCCTATTTACTTTCAGAACCACCATGTGCTGATAAAGAAACGCAAACATTGGCAGCGGACTTCAACAAACTGACAAACGGCCAGACGATTCAGCTAAAGTCCGCTGGGACTGAGAAAGAAGATAAGAAAAAGGAGAAGACTGGTGTGAAAATCGCTGACAATCGCGAACGAGTCGATAAGAAGGAAAAGTCAAACGATCGACCGGACTCTTTATAGCAACAAGCCTCTTCCAAATCTCTTACCGATGTATTCAATAAAAACAACAATATTAAGCTTAGGAAGAAGAGTTGTTCGTGTAGATTTCGCGAACGAAAACCTATTATTGTGTAATTCTAGTATAATTGTTAAATAACTTATCAATCACCAATATCAAATGTGTATACTCTCTTGTTATTGTAAATACGATGTAAATATAGTGGAAAAGACATAATAGTGATGTTGTAAATAATATCGATAAGTGTACAGCGTTCTGAATACACACGGGGTCGAGCCCTGAGCCAAGACGGAGTGGAATATTTAGTGCTCATTAATATTATTAATTTAGGAGATTCCTTAACGTATAAACAAGCACTAGAAAACGTAAACTTGTTTTCTAGTCATGGTAGTCTTTAAGTAAAAATTGTGTATGCGTATCAAAATAAATATGATTGTTATAATCAATTGTATAATCTAATCCCTATAATATCTTCTTGCTTCAGCATTTCCGCCGAAATAATACTTTTGAATAGAATACTCATAAAGATATAAGGAGGTGTTTAAATCAAACACTTTAACGGTTTAAAACGCGATATATTAGTTAAACTTATTCGGAAATGATTTTTAACTTCGGCCCGACGTTTCGGTTGCTTTGCAGCAGCCGTGGTCACGGGGAGACGGGGCGTTTTAAACCGTTAAAGTGTTTTATTTAAGTGTATACTACTCGCGTAAACTATAAACAGTGTTTTATAAGGAGGTGACTTGACTTTCCTCTATTTGATTTGTCTATGAATGACTTGCTCCATGTTGCATAAAGCTTACCCAAACTACAAAAAAACTACAATGTACTGCAATATTTTTTGTTATGTAAATTTCGCTTAGAATTATAATCTTATTAGATTAATACTATTAATGCTTCATTTAAGATATAATGCTCAAATAGATAATTTAGTACTTACTAGCTATTAAGACTTTTTCACTCCGTCTTTCGCTTACTCCGTCTGTATTTGTTTTAGTAATCTAAATATTATGTGATAAATCACTCTTATGTAATTTTAAATGAATAAACAGTTTGATGTTGATTGCGTACGTTATTTATTGAATTTTACTAAAATTGGTTGGCTAAAATAGAAATGATATGGTAAATCATAAAAGGTATGTAGGTAATAAGGTTGTTTAATATGATGTATATGTAGCTGGTTTGATGAAAATAATAAAGTAAAATATGACATGATCCTATATCATCATCTAAGCGTTTGTTTGTTTGGTTGAAAGTGATCTCAGGAACTACTGGTACGGTAAGATTAACTTTCAAGAACGACAGAACGCAACCGACGTCGTACGTGACAGCTTGAATTGATAAATGTGAAGGGGAGGTTTGCAAAAACAAATTTTGATGTCCAAAATAACTATTCTACGCGGACGAAGTCGCTGACATAGCTAATAAATAATATTCTCTTAACCCGCTTGACAATCAACATTGATCTGTTGCTAGACTCTTGTAACTGCAAATTGTCTTTGAACTTGTCAATTGTCAAATGACTAAAAATGTCACAATAGTAACCAAAAGAGAAAAAACGAACCAAACAATTCGTTGTATATATCAAACTTTAATATTAAAATCTCTTTGATTAGTAAAGTTAGACTTACGTCCTTAAATGTTATCATTCTAGTCCATTTAATTACAACATGAGTGAAGAAGTGGCGTGTATTCGAGAAAACAACCGTTTTTTATTAAAATTGAATCGTCGTTTACATAGAGATGAGATAAATGATGTACGCCGAACGGTAACAAACTGGTAATTATTATACTTAACAAAGCTCTTTTCTTCTATTTGGACTTCCTCTTAACTCCAAGGTCCACTTAGTAGATGTTGGTTAGTTAGTTGTATAATTCGTGGAAGCTGAGCTCTGGCGGCGGAGGGATATATTAAACACTCACTTCAGACTTTCAGATGTATACATATTTACACTATTTCACTTTATATTATAATTTGGTATATACTCAATACAAAAACTAACATGTTTCACCCAGCGGGTCAAGAGAGGTAATTTGTTTTTTAAAATAAAACAATATCTTGTAAATTTCAAATAGAGAGCCAATATAAACATAACATATAAACTCCAACTGATCATGTAGAACCAGTGACGAGGTCTGCACATGGAAACCATGGCCTTCTTTGCATATAGGCAATTAAAAACCCAGATATATAAGCTCCAGATAAAGTCAAAATATATGTTTTACAAATAAGTATATCATTTGGTATAAATCATATCATATATAATATAAGACTTGCTGTATCAATGACTTCATCTGAAAAAAATAGTTATTTTTGCATCCACATTTGTGTTTGTGAGCTTCCTGGTTGTCTTTATCAATTATAGCTGTTACCCATGACATCAGTTGCGTCCCGTTGTTCTTCCATAGACTTTTATTTTGATCATATAAAGAGGAATTATTCTTTCATACATATTTTTTGGGTCTCATGAACCGCTTTTTGCAGCTTACTGACAGAATACAGATAAATAATTTTACCAATTTTTTCATTTCACACTTCTTTCAGTATTTCATTGTTCCTATTAACCACATAATATATAGCCTATAGCCTATAAATATAAATAAAATTCTTTTTCAATTCAGACCAGTAGTTCCTGAGATGAATGCGTTCAAACAAACAAACTCTTCAGCTTTATTACTATGGACTATAAATATAATTGTACACTTACATTTTACAGTATGACTAAGGAAAATGTATCGGAAATTGCTAGAAAGTTGAAAACAAGAGCGCCGATCACAGCTAAAGAACTAGGTCAGCTCAAAAATGCGTTAATGGATGATCCACATAACATCCAAGTAGTGCTCAGTGTACACGGAGCTCTTAGAGGCTTAATACGAGAATTGACTGGTGATTAATTTTTTTTAACATAATTAGCACGCAGATTACAATATATTGTGGGTTAAGTCAATACCTAGTTTGTGAACTTTAATATTTGTCACATGTTGTGCACATGATGGCATTTTATAAATAAAGAATGGATTTTAAATTAAACAGGCAGGACTTGAAGTATGGACAAGTATTCCGTGCTGTTGCTCTAACCAATTGAGCTACCGTCCTTTACACATGTTGTAGTATTTTTAATTTGTACAACATATATGTAATTGTTAATCTATTTTGTTAACAAAAACCTATAAACATATTTTTATCAAAACTGAAGAAAGAACAAATTAATAAACTGACTGATTACAACTATACCAATCTTTCACCAACTCTTTCATTTTTGTATTAGCTAGTTCATAAGTTTTTGTATTCATAAAAGAAATTGCAGAGTTTATAATTATGAAAGGTGAATCAATATAGAGATGAGTTACAACATACATAGTATTTGTTATTGATTTCCAGGTGCGAATGTGAAAAAGCAATGTGCTGCAGCTGGATGCATTTGTAATTTGGCCTTAGGAGATACCAAGGCTTGTACAATAATCTCAAAGGCAGCGGGGACTTATTTGGTTGCTGCAGTTGATAACCTCGTCACTGAACTGGCCGTATGTAACATATTGTCTGTAGTTTACGCGAGTAGTACACATTTAAATAAAACACTTAAACGGTTTAAAACGCGGTTTGTGAGAGCGTTCAAACAAGCCCATCTCCTTTATGATATAAGTATAGATTATTGGTATAAGTCACATTTGTAATTGAAAAACATTAAAAATTAGACTATCTGGAGCAATTTTTTTTATTATATTTATAATTTTTAGTATTTACTTATTTCGTTTGGCGAGTTAACGTGCCGGTGGTCACAGATGGCGTTGCATCACATTTAAATTTCGCAGCAGTCTAGCTGATTTTAACTTAGAGATGGCGCTAGCGTAGCAAGTTAAACCTACTATCCTAGCGCCATCTAATTTATATAAAGTTCTTTAAGAAGTGACACTCTCTTGTTGGGTGATTTAATATAAATAACAATAATGATATTACAGGTGACATGTGTATGGACGCTGGGAAATTTGGCAGCATCACGTAAAAAAGTATGCAATATCCTCACATCACAGGGTGCTCTATCGAAAGTGATGGAGTTGCACACAAATGAAGAGTTGCAGGATGCTTGCTTGTACGCATTGAAGCATTTCGTTTATCAATTGGGAGATGAATTGAAGTATGATTTGTTTTTTAATTTTACCAGTTTTGCTGAAAACCAGTGTCTGAAGCAAGACCCTTCTGGCATCGCATTTCTTTATATTAAATTTAACCCTTTTGTATTAATTATTTTATTGTAATTACATTTATTTATTTCTAACACTATCCTATTAACAATCCAATGGAAAATCTTTAAAACTTATCTATTCAAAACATTTACTGAAGAGAGATGGGGTATAAACAATCCTGCAAGCCGTTTGATTTTAAGGGGGGGGGACATCATAGGGTTCTCTTGATGGAAGCTAAAAATACCCCAGCCGTATAACATCTAAACTAGTCGAGCTATCAATCTTTATATAACCTATCATCTACATGCATCAAAAAATTTATAATTAAATTAATTTAATACGTAGGACGTGAAAATTTAACCCATGACCCACTGATTAAAAGCCATTTATCAGCCAGTATTGCCACTTAAAACATATGAATGAGGAAAAATCTCACGTACTAACTTATAAAAGGCGGCCTTATAGCCTAGTAGCCATCTCTTCTGGGCAACGGGAAGTATCTTGGTTTAATTACTGGGCTCCTGTTAATTTACTTCTCTTCTTCCAGACCAGAACACCTACAAGCAACCCTGAATACACTATCGAAACTACAACTGAACGTGGAAACATCAGAAGCACTCTTCATCCTCTCCTGTCACAGTGATTTTCCAGACTTGATCACAGAGGAACTGCTATTAAAACTATTGGAAGACTTCATCCGATGCATGGAACATCATCTGTGCACCAGAAGAGAACAAGAGCTGGTTTATGTTACTCGGACACTTGCAAATTCAAATGTGTGTGGATATATATTGAATTATCCTAATGTTAAACATGTGTGTGAGTTGTGTAAAAAAGTGCTATCGGTGGACAATGTTGTGGTGAATAAATCGATCATGTGGTTGCTTGGTAACATTTATAAGGCCTGTGGTGAAAGTGAGTTTTTTAATTTTTTTAGCGAGCTGATTGTTAATAAATGTAAGTTCTTTGTCATAAATGACGTGGTCAGCCGTGGTCACGAGGAACACCCCGTGACCACGGCTGTGCAAAGCATTGAGAGTTAAAAATCATTTTCAAATAAGTTTATCTAATATATCGCGTTTTAAGCCGTTAGAGTGTTTTATCTTTGTCTTATTCAAAGCTGTTACCATGTTTGTCTCTTATCTGATGGAAATCTGATAGTATGGATTACAGTTTACAGGTTACAGACTACTGGTACTAGATGTGACGGTGGTGGTATGACATTGAGAAGATAGGTATTGTCTATAGTTAAGTGAGTAGTACACATTTAAATAAAACAGTTAAAACGGTTTGAAACGCGAAATATTCATAACTTTTTATTAATGCGCATTCGTGATGTTCGTAAATGATAAAGTTTTATAAAGATAACATAACCCTTCTAGTTTATCGTGACTGCTTGAGCATCCAAAAAGTCGGGCCAAGCCAAAAAATGATTAAAATTAGTAATAAATAATATAAAAAAACAATACTTCGCGTTTATTTTAAAGTAACGATTTAAGTAATTAAGTCACTTTGCAACTCGTTAAGAAACACTGTTAATTTAAAAATAAAAAATAAATTGATTTTTTTTTACTTATTTTTGATTAAATACTGTCTATAGTTTACGCGAGTAGTACACATTTAAATAAAACACTTTAACGGTCTCCCCGTGACCACGGCTGCTCCAAAGCATCCGAAACGTCGGGCCGAAGTTAAAATCATTTTCAAATAAGTTCAACTCTTATCGCGTTTTAAACCGTTAGTGTTTTTTTTTAATTATATAGTGCCTTCGTGTGAATCATATGAAACATATTAAAGCTTTCAAACACGTGTTAAATTGGCCACAATAAAATATCAAAAAACAAAATAATCTTTATACATACAATAAATTATGTAGTATTGTGCTTCTGTAAATTGTCGGTCTGTGGCGGGAAAGGAGCGCTGTATTTAACGGTTGTCAGAAATTAATATTCCAAGATAAAAACTCATTCAATATTGAATTTAGTAATTGATTCCTTCGCTCCTATCGCTTTAAGCCTCGATAAATGGTGCAACGAAGAAAAAAGGAATTTTTCAATTCGAAACAGCATTTCCCGAGATTAGCGCGTACAAACCAAACTCGTCAGCTTAATATACTGACTGTGTCAGCGACTTCGTTCGCGTAGAATATTCTAAGATAGACATATACTGTCGCGGACAGTTTTTTTAGATCATATAAAGAGGAATAATTCTTTCGTACATATTTTTTGGTGTCTTGCCGCGTTTTTGCAGCGTGCAGCAACATATCTCCCCGCTGTGTCTTCGCTCCTATTAGCGCTCACAGGGCGATGTTTTAGAGCCTATACTATTCAAAAAGAAATTTTAAATTCGAACCAGTAGTTCCTGAGATTAGCGCGTACAAACAAACTCTTCAGCTTTATATGTTAGTATAAATTAGACAGCACATAATTAAAATAAAACACTTTAACTGTTTAAAACGCGATATATTAGTTAAACTTATTTGGAAATGATTTTGACAGTCTCCCCGTGACCACGGCTGCTGCAAAGCATCCGAAACGTCGGGCCGAAGTTAAAAATCATTTTGAAATAAGTTTAACTAATATATCGCGTTTTAAACAGTTACAGTGTTTTATTTAAATGTGTACTACTCGCGTAACTAAAGACAGGTATTTCCATGTTTACCCCATTTTTTTAAGCTATTCTGACTTATTCATTTATGTATATAAAGATATAAGCACTTACGTAAGTAATGTCGCCTTATCGCCTGTACGACCTAATAAAGAAGTTTTTTTTTAAATTTATTCAACAAAACTTGTTTAATTTATGTTAAACTACAACATTTATAATAATGCGTTGCTCTTATTGTCTTTTACCCACATTTAAGTAATCATTAATGGGATCGTTACGCTAGTTAACTTCGAGATAGCAGAGGACAGTGAAGCTTGGGGCTCACTCGATGTTAGGAGAAATACCTATATTAAACAAGATGCGCTATTGACCTATATTCGGCTTTTAATGTGTGGACGGTGGTTCGTTACCCGGACGACATTCTGATATCCCTGCTACCTTTTTAATATTCACATTTAAAGCCCAACACATTTCGGAAAATGTGTAACTTGACCACGCCCCTTTGATTATCAGCCATACATTGTTACTATTCCTCATCGCGTTAATAGTTAACCAGAGTTCGATTCTCGGCTGATTTTATATTTAAAAAAAATCAAATCAAATCAAAATCTTTTATGTTTCCTTATACATGGTGCAGAATCGAAAGTCCCTAGTCCCCACACTAGGGCAAGCCTGTGTCGTGGGTGACTAGTCTCTTCCAGGTGATAGGTAAAATAAAAACATCTAAGCTAACTTATGTCTACTTACAATTATGTATGAAGTGAGAGAGTGTTACGTATGTTGATATAATATAGGTATGTAACAGAATAAGTGTGATAGGTGGATAATGTAAGTTTACAATGCTAACGAAATAGACTTATAGTTAGTTACATTGTAATTTTTATCTAAGCTGATCAACTTGTCCTTTAAAAGTTATGTAGTGGTTGTTGCATGAAGGATCAGGAACCAACGGCGTGAAATGAAATCGCGTTTCGGTGTCAGTCAGTGGATTTTCGGGTATCGAAAAACAAAATAAGTCGCAACACATCTTGCTTAGATGTGATATGGCTGTGGTATCTCACCATCAAGTGAAACCGGAATGTCACGGAACCCCTCGTGAAAGTATTCGACTCGCACTCGGCTATATTATAAATGAATGCAAACCGAACGACAAATATTTACCCTGATTTACAATAAACAATTCGCCAAATTCAGACTCAGCTGGTGTATCAAATTTTTGAAACTTTTATTTACTTTGTTTAATTATTTAATAAAATTAATATAAAACCAAATTAAACAAGCTATATTTAAACTTGTAGAATTTAAAATACAAAACAAAATATTATGTACTCTTCCTTTTTGCAATGTTAAGTTGCAATAACAACAATTACTGCTTTAAAAATATTTTTAAATACTTAAATACTGTCCGTTGTTTACGCGAGTAGCACACATTTAAACAAAACACTTTAACGGTTTAAAACGCGATATATATTCGTTTTTACTTTGCGATCAGAAGCACCCACCATCTGTAGTCTTCCCTTGTGACCACGGGTCCGAAACATTGGAAACGTTTTCAATTCGAACTAATATATATATCGCGTTTTAAACCGTTAAAAGGTTTTATTTAAATTAAAAATACTCGCTGCCCGTGCTGTACTATGTAAAATTAAAATGTTCTGGTCGCAGGTTCGGGTCCCGTACGTGTCTTAATAATTGGAATCTATATACTTACAATATGACCTCTCTAACTCAACGTTGCCTAGCATAGCGTTAAGCGTAAGAGGGTACGAGTGCCGGGGAAACAATGGTCTGTTTCGGTCGAGCAGGGCACATAGGTGGAAACTACTTGAAAATATGTTCGTCCCATGCCCCACGGGGGCTACACTTCTATATATATAGATGAGGGCTCCGTATGATTGATTAGTGTCTAAGTGTCATTTAATGATATTATATGCAAACATGATTCGCTGTCTCCCTGACCCGACAGCGAGGGTAGATCCAATTTTGGCATCCTTGTCTTGGACCAGTCAAGAAGCTTTAATTTAATTTTGTTAACAATAGATACAAGGATTTTTTTTATTTTATTACAATTAAATTAAAATATATTGTAAATCAAGGGAGGGACATGAACCGATCCCGCTTTTTTTCGTACGGAACCCTCAAGAATTATAACGATTTAAACTTTCAAAACATTCTTATAAAAAGCAATTTTCGGCTAAAGATTGCAGCGTCGTGACATTGAACAATAAAATGAACGTACGAATATCATTTTTTTAATATCTCCACCGTAACACGTTAAGGTAAACAACTGGAATAACTCGATCAACATCGTGAGTAGCCTTAGCTTAGTACTCGTTGCAATGCCGAACCAAAATCACCGAAAGATCGAAATTTAAAATGCACTTCCTCATTTTAATCATCTGTTGCGTACGCGCAGTGCTCACACAATCCTGCACACCACAAGATGCTACCTTGAACTTCGAAGAGCTAGCCACAAAATACGGCTACCCCCCGCAAAAGTACAAAGTGACAACGGAAGACGGTTACATCCTCACGCTGTACCGTCTACCTGGACCGCGGGAACCGGTCCTGCTGCAGCACGGGACTTTGGACTCCTCATCCACTTGGCTGTTACGAGGAAACAATTCTCTCGGCATCACTCTAGCCAACGCAAACTACGACGTATGGATAAGCAATTTAAGAGGCAATAAGTATTCAAGAGACCACACACTCCTGGATCCAGATAAAGATGACGCTTACTGGAACATAGATCTGGATCACTTCGGAACGTATGATCTACCAGCGATCATAGACACGATTCTTCATGTGACGCGGCTGAAGAAGATTAAAGTGATCGCCCATTCAGCAGGCAACACGATATTCTATATCCTGGGTTCGATGAGGCCAAACTACAACAAGAAGATAAAGTTGCTGATAGCTCTAGCACCCATAGCATACATGCACAACTCATACAACGCAGTCACCTGGTTAGGATCGAATGTAAGAGCTCTAGACGACATCCTATTAAACTTTAATGTCCACGAACTGTTCGGGGAGACGACTCTGCTTCAAAAACTTTTGAAGGTCGTATGCAACAATCCACTAATCGGATACGAGGTGTGCTTGAACAGGCTACTATTTCCCCTAACTGGGTTTGACAACGAGCAGATAAAGCCGGACTTCAATCCAATCATATTCGGACACTTTCCAGCTGGTTTCCCGAGGAAGAGTCTCCTCCACTTCTCGCATATTTGGAGAAGGAAGGAATTCATACGTTTCGACTACGGTTCGCAGAACTACCGATTCTACAATTCCACTGAACCGCCGAGGTACAACCTGGGTGCTGTTACGATGAGGATCGTCCTCATAGCTGGAAGGAACGATTGGTTGGCGCCTTTGAAGAATGTGAATTTGTTGAGTAAGAAGCTGCCGAACGTGGTACAGTATATAATACATCCGCTGAAACAGTTCAACCACCTGGACTTCACGTGGGGGGAGAATGTGAAAGAGAATTTGTTCCCGTATATTTTTGACGCTTTGAATATGTACAGTTGAAAGCTGTCTGTAGTTTACGCGAGTGGTACATATTTAAATAAAACACTAAACAGCCGTGGTCACAGGGTTTGTCACCCTGCCTGCAAAGCATCCGAAACGTCGGGCCGTTGTTACAGTCATTTACAGATAATTGCGCGAGGACGAGCGTAGGACTCGGTAGCTCAATTGGTTAGAGCAACAACAGGGAACGCTGAGGGTGCGGGTTCGAGACCTGGCCGAGTCGTAATTTTTTTTCAATTTGTATTCTTTTTTTCATTAAATACTGTCTATAGCTTACGCGAGTAGTGTTTTGTACTACATTTAAATAAAACACTTTAACGGTTTAAGACGCGATATATTAGTTAAACTTATTTGAAAATAATTTTTAATTTCGGCCCGACGTTCCGGATGCTTTGCAGCAGCAGTCTCCCCGTGAGACGGCTGCTTAAAAATCATTTTCAAATAATTTAAGCGTTTTAAACTATTTTTCATTTCCAAATAAGTTTAACTTATATAATTCGCATTTTAAACTGTTTAAGTGTTACATTTAAATATGTACAGTTAATTTGTGAATTAGCTTATAAGATATTAAGTTTATTTTAGATCTAAGGTTTAATAAAACATCAACAAAATATTGTTTTTATTCACACCTAGTGACGATATCGCATACAAAATAACAATAAGAAATTGGGTACATGCTGGTCTCATTAGGTAACAATCAACGGGTCGTGGATTCGATTCCCATGAGGTCCACCATTTTTCTAAAAGATTTATATATTTTTAAAAGTTGGAGTTAAGAAATATCGAACTATCGAGTCGAATTGAAAAGCGTAATCGCGTCGGTTATGTTGACATCACATCCTAGTCAGATATTTTTTGAAACCTCGGACAAGCCGTTTCCTTGTATAAAAGAAAAATTATACATAAAATTAGATGTGAAAAATATTTTTTCCTCTCTTTTCCTACAACTCAAACAAGGCCAGAGAAAATGTATTTCTTTTACACTTTAGGTATTGTCTTAATTTGAAAAGCTTGAAAATTTGATTGTTTGTTTGAAACGCGCTAATCTCAGGAACTACGGGTTCGAATTGTTTTTTTTTGTATTGGTTAGAGCATTTATCTCGATGTTATATTTGTGACGTGACTAATTGAAGCGAAGATACAGCGGGAAATGTGGAGAAAAGGGGAAAAATGATATCTGTGGGTTTCCGATACGTACCTAGCTGCAAAAACGGTGAAAGAATGTTTTCTCTTTCAATGGTCTAAAAATGTCCGCCAACTTGCAAAAATGACGGGAAGCGAGCGAAGTCGTGGGTAACACCTTAAGTTTTTAAATATGAAGGGGTTTGCAAAAAACAAAAAAAAGATACCCAAAATAATTCTACGCGTTCAAAGTCTCTGACTCAGCTAGTTGTTAATTATAATACTTTTTAACATATTTGCTCGTAAAGTGGTTGTAATTACACCAATTTCAATATCGTAATGTATCTCATTACGTACTTGTGCGATAATGTAATGTAAAAGGCACGTGTTTTTTTTTCTTAGCAAAGAGGTTTTATCAAGTCAAGTCAAGAAAGTTGTCAATATTTTATGAATAAAATTAACTTTGGGAAAATAAATATAACTAATAAACATTTAATTCTTTAATTAATTTTTGACAGTAAATTACAACCATTTATCTGTAAAATATTAATTTACTTTATTAGTAAAGGATGTTGTTTTTGTTCCCCTTCAAAAAAACGTTGGTTTTGGCGCGCGCATCGCTTATTTGTGGACAAGTAAAAATAATTCCGCGCGCTTTTTCTTTTAGCTGTATTGTTTTTATTTGAAAATGTCGTCATGTCCTCGTAAATATGCTACAAAACGTCGTATGACATACGTGCGCTTTGAAAATTACAGCCTCTACTTTCTTATAGTAATATCGCCTCGGCTGTAATTTTCAACTTACCGCACTTATATCATAATGTACTATAACGGTTTATAACGCTACATTAAACTATTCTTTGCAGCACCGTTGATGACAAGGGAACTTAAAATGGCGTCTTTAGTGTAAAGTCAAAACTGCTACGCTAGCGCCATCTACGTACGCGACATTTATTTCAGACAAACTGGCTCGTCCTTGCAAGAGACCTCACATCGGGCCGTAGTTTAATTACATTTAAAATAAGTTAGGCAATATTTTTCGTAATTTAAACCGCTAAGTGTTTTAAATATTACTTTAATTGTTTTAAATCTGTATATATGTACTTAGCTAACTTATTTATTATACTTTCATGTAACTATTTTGTGTTTTATATATTATGTAGGTACGCCACGCATTATTGACACAAGTTAAATACTAAAATTGTTTTTTGCGTAAACTTGATGAGACTTTGCAATGATGCTGTGTTGTCGACCTATTTTGGCTTGACTGACCGAAACGCAATTAATACTGGCTTTACCGTCTTCGGTCTGTGCTACTTTACAATGATAAAGTCGCAGACAAAAGGGAAAAAAAAAAAAATTTTGGGTGTAATTTTGCGAAAAAAAGAAGGGGGAAAGTGGGGAGGGGAAAGGGGGGGAAAAAAAAAAAACCGGGGGGGGGGGGGGGGGGGGCTGGCTGGTCCATGGGCGCAAGCTAGTCGTAAATAACAAACTTACAAGATGCCTTAGAATCTATCTGTCATTCATCAAGTAAATAAGGAAATCATTTCGACCATTTCTTTTTTATATTGTAATTTTACGGCAAATTTTATTTGACACAATTATTAACTTAATATCTATTCGTGATGGTGATAAAGAAACACAATTAATATTAGTACAGCTTAGATTTTCACCAGTATAACATGTCGGTGACGAAATTATATCGTGTGGCTGTCATTTTAATGCAAATAGCATCTGTGTTTACCGACCAATCAGTCATATCAGCTATAAACAAAAAAGGCGACCGCCTAACATTTTTAAAGTTAGCAGAACTCCTAGGACGGCCTGCTGAACAATACGATGTGATCACCGAAGATGGTTACATTCTGGGTATCTTCCGCATACCTGGTGTGCTACAGCCGCCCACGCTCCTGGTCCACGGCGTAGAATTAGCAGCAGACAGCTGGCTTTTGCGAGGAAACAAATCACTACCCATAATGCTCGCCAACTTGGGACATGATGTGTGGTTCGCTAATGTTAGGGGAAACATATACTCTAGACGACACATCCACCTAAATCCAGACGTGGATAAGGATTTCTGGGAGTTTTCCTTCCACGAGCACGGATATTATGACCTGGCTGCAATAATAGACAGGATCCTGGACGAAACAAAGGCTTCACAAATCAACGCTATAGGCCATTCGCAAGGTACCACCATGTTCACAGTTCTGACTGCCACTAGACCAGAGTATAACGACAAAATAAACCTGAGTATATATCTGGCACCAATAGCGTATCTGAACAAAGTTCGAGCGCCGCTTCTGAACTGTATCATGTTGTCACCAGAATTGAACATGATCATGGAGAAGATGGGTATGAACGAATTCTTTGGTTACAATCAGACTTTCAGTGTCGCTTTGAGACGTATCTGCACCCTGTCTCCACAGGTCAGCTACTTAGCCTGTGCCTACGGCTACGCGTTTCCTATAGTCGGCTACGACCCGGAGGAACTGGAGCCGGAGTTCTACCGCATCAGCAATTATTACTTCCCCGTCGGGTCGTCGAGGAAGAACTTAATTCATTTCGGACAAGTTGGTAGAACGGGAAGGTTTGGACAGTACGATCATGGGGCAGTTAAAAATCTGGCTATATATAAGTCTCTGACGCCACCGTTATACAATTTGACGAACGTGCGGATCCCAATTGTGCTGCTGGTGGGGCGGCGGGACAAGCTCGCGACTGTCACGGATGCGGAGACGTTGCGGCAGCAGCTGCCAAATGTAAAAATACACAAAGTGTTGCCCAGGGAAAAGGCGAACCACCTGGACTTCATATGGGGTAGGAGTATGGAAGAATATTTGTTTCCCTACATCTTAAGTGCGTTTGATCAGCAGTAAATAAAGATTTAGCGAATGTGGTTTTTTTTTATGAAAGATGAGGACAGACAAGTAGGCTTCACTGGATGGTGACTCCGGTCATTGAAGTTCGAAACTAGATGTGTCAACCTGTTTTGGCTTCAAATATACGGAAATCCACAATTTGAAACCGAATTGGATTAAGCTTCACGGCTTCTTCATATGTGGAGGATGGTTCGTGAGCCGAAAGGAACTTCTATATTCCTACCACCCATTTATATATCCGGATTTCCAGACGAAGTCCAACATGTGTCAGATATATTATGAATTGCTAGCTGTCTTAGCGATATCGTCGTAGAATAGTTATTATAGCATCCAAATTTGCTTTTGCAAACCTCCTCTTCACTTTTATAAATTCAAACTGTTACCCACGTCGATGATCGCGTCCCGTCGTTCTTGCTTAGTTTTTCTTAAAAGGTAAAAATATCGCGAACATTTTCTATCATTTAAAGAGGATAATAATTCGTACTTATGTTTTACGTATTACCCGTTGTCGTAGCGTAAGGAAGCCTAAATAGGGTAAAATTCATTTTTTATTTTTATTTAGTTTTCTCCACATTTCCCGCTGTTTCTTCGCTCCTATTTCCAGCGCGATGTTTTTTATATAGCCTTCTTCAATAAATGCTAAATTAATGTAAGTTGGAACCAGTAGTTCCTAAGATTAGCTCGTTCAAACAAACTCTTCAGCTTCATATATTAGCAAAATGTTGGACCCATTGAGGATCAAACTGGCTAGCATTACACCGACGCCCGTTGTTCTGTTCTAATGAGGGCCTTACACGTTTATGTTGTTGACACATTGAATGAAATCGATTTTAAATTGTTAACTTAATGACGCACCTAAAGCCGTATTAGAACGCACTTTACACGATACGATACGATTTAACAAAACGATATTTTTTTTTAGGGAAGGGAAAAATTTTAAAAAAAAAATTTTTATGGGTTAAAAAGGGGATTTTTTTTTAAAATGTTGTTTTGGGGGGGGCTGGGGGGGGGGGGGGCCCCCCCCGGGGGGCGGCACCCAAAACGTCGGGCCGAATTAAAAAATCATTTTCAAATAAGTTTAACTAATATTTCGCGTTTTTAACGTTAAAGTGTTTTATTAAAAACTACATATACGATATTTGTTCTTACACTTATTTATTTATTTATTAAAAACTAATATAGTGTTGGGGAATAATACATTAAGTTTGTTCTCGCGGGACTGATGGCGAACAGTGGTCTATTGCGTCGTCGTACGTAGGCATCTATCTAGGACTTAAAGTTGATGGACTGCAGCGCCATGTGGTCACATGTGTGCCTCTTACCACCTTGAACATACGTGGCCAACGCTAGGTGCCTTCGTGCTTCGAGCTTGGTGTTGCCTAGCATTGCGTTAAGAGCGAGAGGTTCTGGGAAGAGGTCGAATGGGAAAAACAATACATAGCTTCGGATAGAACACAGTGACCAATAGGTGCGACGGAGCAATTTAAACATTAAATTTTAAATAAAACAAAATCTTTACACGATGCAAAAACAAATAGAGACAGTATATGTGTATAAGTAAGTAGGTGCATATATTATTTCCCGTTTTTTCTGCATTTGCTTCGCTACTATTAGTTATAAAAGATTCCTTCCTAAAAAAAAAAATCTCTAACCGGCACAATTTTTTTTCGATTCGAACCAGTAGTTCCAAACTAACAAACTATTGGTCGCAGTTTCATGCTTTATAACCCTTCCTCGATAAATGATCCAACCGACGCAAGGATATTTAAAATCGCGCAGTATTTCCTGAGATTAGCGCTTTCAAACAAACAAAGTCTTCAATTTTATTTATTAGTATAGATAATCGCACACTATAAAAAGTACTCCATTTATTTGGCGTTGTATTATGATTACGTCTCCGATATATATTATCTCTTCTTTCGATTGCAATATGTTAAATTCGACTGTAATATGTACACCACGCTCGTGTCATACACAATATTAGCTGTCACAGTTAGTAGTGGCACCTTAAACTTAGACCAAGGATACAGAAACACCACAGAATTCGCAGCCGAACATGGTATCACAGCCAAGGAGTACAAGGTCGTCACCAAAGACGGTTACATCTTGGGCATCTTCAACCTGCCCGGAACCAGGGGTCTGCCAATTCTACTGATGCATGGACTCACGGATTCCAGCGACACTTGGCTCATCAGAGGGAATATTTCCCTGGGTATCACCCTCGCCAATTTGGGGTATGACGTCTGGTTGGGTAACCTTCGTGGGAATAAGTACTCTCGCGAACACACCCGCTTAGACCCCGAAAGGGACGCTGCAGTCTACTGGGACTTCAGTTTCCACGAGAACGGGTATTATGATCTACCAGCCACCATTGACCTGGTCCTGGAGAAGACTGGAGCTTCGCAAATCAACGCTATAGGACACTCGCAAGGTACAACCATATTTTTCGTACTGGCTTCACTTCGACCAGAGTACAACGAAAAAGTCAATTTACTGGTGGCGATGGCACCAGTGGCTTTCCTACAATACGTGACCCCACCACTCTCCACCATCATTAAAGTGTCACCAGAATTGATAAACTTTGGCAAACGCTTGAAGCAGTATGAGATCTTCGGCGAGTCCATAACAGGAAAAGCCTATAGAGAAGTCTGTTTGAAGCCAACTATTGGATACTTACTGTGTGCGTACGGATATATATTTCCAGTAGCTGGTTACGATGTGAAAGAATATGGTTATAAATTCCACTACATGCTCACGCGACAGTTTCCGATGAGCACCTCGTTAAAGAACTTGGAACACTTTGCCCAAGTCAGCAGGCGGAGGAGTTTTTCAGCTTTCGACTATGGAAGAATTGGGAACCTCAAGGTTTACGGGACTCCGTCTCCCCTGAACTACGATTTGAAGAAAACCACAATGCCAGTGGCTATACTGTGTGGAGAGAGTGATAAACTGGCAACATTTAAGGATGTTCTCTTGCTGAAGGATGCGCTACCGAATATCGTACAATTTTCAGTGGTTGACCACAATCATATGAACCACGTAGACTTCACATGGGGGAAGACCATGGACAAATATCTGTATCCCTATATATTTGGCATCCTGGATAGATTTGGAAATTAAAAAAATAAATTATCTTATTTTGAATTAGTGACAATATCCAATGTTAGTGATAAGAAGTGAATATCCTCGTGGGAAATGGGACACATTTCTGCGTCCGTTTCAAGTAGTTTTGGGTGGCAGGTAGTTAATCAAACTTCTGTGTCCTGCCTGACCGAAACAATCTACTATTTCACCAGGATTCGAAGCCAGGACTGCGTTTAATGCAATGCTAGGCAACACGTTTAACTACATCCATACAGAAGCGGCCGTTAGTATAAGAAACTTAGTAATTTTCATCTTACGTAAATATAGTGTATAATATGATAATAACTCAGATATTTATTTACTTTGTATCAAATTTAATAACAGCAAACGGGATTTGACCCCCCCCCAACCGCAAATAAAAATGATTGAATCAAACAAAATTGTAGATTTGATACCGTAACTCAGTCGTACCGTAGGTCCAAATTTTGCTTATCTCTTTGAAAAAGTTAAGGAATTTATTTATTTCGACATATAATAAGCACTCACATATCTAAAATCTAAATATGACCATGTCCACGAATATAATAGAGCTGAAGTTCGTTCAAACACGCTTATTTAAGATAGGGGAGACCGGGGCTGGTAGGTAGACCAAATGGGGTAGGTAGACTAAATATCAAAAACTCGTTCGCCTCAAAAGCCTAGAGCCAAACAATGAAGCATGACATCGTCATCTACCCCGCACCTGCAGCGCAGCGTAGCGTAGATTTCCAGACAAACTCTAACGTGTTTCAGAAAAATCAAATTGATTACAATATTGGACCTGGTGGGGATAGAACCTGCAGCCCATTATTAACGCATACATCGCTACCATTACCCCACCGAGTCCGTCCATTAGTGACAGTTGTAGACTTGTAGCTTAGGCGACCCGTACGAATTGCTCTCGAGTGTAGCTTGGCTTGAAAGGAGATAAATAAAACACCAAATCTAGAAGTTGATTTATTCAGTTTTACAAGCTGAACGCAAGCATTCTAAGCTATATATAATAAGCAAACTAACAGCTGTTTAACAGCTTCAGATCTTTAATACTGAAGTAGTTACTTCAAATAATTACATATTTTAATACACAGGAACCATAATAAACTAAATAAGAATCTGTCTCAAGCTATTCACGTCCCACAGCTGGCCCACAGCCCACCACGCAACCAGCCCACGAGACCAACTACTTCCAAATGCTGGAACTATATTCTTCCAAATTGAAACTAAAACTTCACTCGAGATTTCAATCTTTGAGGAGTGAACTTAAGTATATTTTCCTAACTTAAAATCTAATTTAAATGTTAAACAAAGGCAGTTAAACGTTATACCAACAATAATACATAGTTTAAAATACTTTGGTAACGATAAACAGCACAGATTCTACAAACACAATAAGTCTGTAGTTTACGCGAGTAGTACACACTTAAATACTTTTCAACGGTATAAAACGCGAAAATAATAAGTTAACTAATATATTTCACGTTTTTAACCGTTAAAGTGTTTTATTTATACACTATTTGAATACTTTGAGTACTTTAAAATTGCCTAATATCGAATGCCGGAGGTTTTCTGTATCTATTTCACTAAATGGTTTTATTTACGGGCAAGTTGATCAGCAGCTCTTAAGAACAGAATTGATACTATATTATTTAATATTGTCTTGAATATACCCCAGTAGTAGACAATAAATAAAACCCTTTCAACGGTTCAAAACGCGAAATATACACCTACACTAGTTAGGCGAGCGAAGCATTTAAAAAAATGCATCTTAGAAGTCAAATTAATATTTGAGAATATCGCCTTTAAATCCGTTAAAAGTGTATTTCTTAAACATATTTAATAGATCGGACACATTTTAACGTGTTTCAAATGCTTATCTAATTTAATAAATCTATAAACGTTTCAACTCATTGCCGTAACGCGTGACGTAACGAAGCGGTAAAACTATCACTTGAATAAACAATTAAACATCGTCAAAACTGAGTGTCAATAACAGTAGTCGCGTAGATAACAAATATTTCACTCTGCGAAAGCAATTTAAAATAATTAATGGAAAGTCATTAAATGTTTCCCCCTAATTTATAAATTAATCGTCGTTTATCGTTTATCAAACATATAAATACTGTATATAGTTTACGCGAGTAGTACACATTTAAATAAAACACTCTAACGGTTTAAAACGCGATATATTAATTAAACTTATTTCAATGTTTTTTATATTTAATATCCACATTTATAGAAGGAGTCCTTCATGTTTTAATAAAACTAAACATGACCTGTTCTGATCGAGCCTTCTACCCATATATTGCTGATATATATATATACTATGTTTGTATGTATATAAATTAAAATTAATAATATAAATAAATAAATAAATAATAATAATGGGGGTTCCCCAACGAGACCAACACGTTTTAAATCGATTTAAAAATTTCCGGAAACATTTTGAACTTTGGAAATCTGGATATTAAATAACTGATAGGAATATCGAAATTCCGTCCGGGCCACAAACCACCGTCCACAGATGAAAAAGCCGCGTGGTTTAATTACGATTCGATTTTGTTTGGATTTCCGAATAACCAAAGCTAAAATAGGTCGGCAGCAGATCTTGGTACGATGTTATATGGCTTGGGTATTTCGCCTTCCATTTGAGCTTTGTACATCAAAATCTTAAAAGTTTGTATATGTAGTAAAATGTACAAAACCCTTAATAAAATAGTCCGACACGCTCTTGGCCGTTTCCTGTAGTCCTATTTGATTGTGCTAATTTTCTTCCTTCACATTAGTGTTAACGACAAACTTTTTGGTCAAACAATTTATGAAACATCCTGTATAACATCTAAATACTGGATACGAAGGAGACGAGGGTACTGGTGGGGCTGACTGCCTCGTCAGCCGCTGTTTGTCAGCCAAGTGCGTGGGTAATGTTAGCGTGCTGCAGGAGAGCCGTTTGGCTGTCGTTGTGCAGCTCAGCTAGCTGCACGGAGTCCTGGTTCCTTCTACGCTCGGAGCTGTGCCACGCACCATATGTGAGGTAGATCAGAAGACCTGGCGAAGATGGTTTGATATTAAATACTTTATTTTATTTATCTATACTAAAACTTTATTATTTTTCTACATGTTATTGCACATGAAGGCGCTATATAATTTTAAAAATCGAAAATAAATTGAGAAAAATTTCGCCTCGGGCACGACTTCAACCGGCATCGTCAGCGTTCCGTGCTGTTGCTCTAACAATTAACTCGGACTCGGCAGCCTAATTGGTAGAGCAACAGCACGGAACGCTGACGATGTCGGGTCAACGCCCTGTGACTAATACAACCTAAGGTATATATTCAAAGATCGATATAATAGTGTCCTGAAACCTTTTTTTAGATCAATTAAAAAATGAATCATTCTTTCATACATATTATTTAAGCATTTTTAATCGTTTTCGAAGCGTACGCAACGGAAACCGCCAAATATGATAAATTTTCTCCTTCTTTTTTCGATTCCCACCAGCGTTTCCTTAGATTAGCGCGTCAAAACAAACAAACTCTTCAGCTTTATGGCGTTTTCGTGGGCTTTCGTTGCGTGCACTGCGAAAACGGTTGAACGTACCCAAAACATTGATCTATGAAATAGAGGTATCGAAGGGACGGAAACGGGCGCGGGGCGAGCGAAAACCATGTGCGCTAGCGTCGATCGGTTCCCCAGTCGCGTTGTCTCTCTCGGACCAATACGACGCTGCGCTTGCTTCTCGAGTACAGTCACGTTTTCCGATCAATTACGTGCGCGACTGTACAGATGCGCAACTATCCCCTCTACACTTCGTTCAGCGCTAAACATGCGTGTCAGAGCTCTTCAAAAATCCGCCCTCTTGATACCGTAAAACATCCAAGGCGTTAATGAATTAAAATATCGCATTTTGAACCGTTCGTAATGACTATTATTTTTGTAATCTCTCAACGCGTTTTATTATTGTAAAAAAAATTGTTTCAAATTATAAAAAAGAATGAATTAAAATGATAACGTTAACAAAGTTACGTTTTATTCGATCACTAAGAAAATATCCTTTAAAAATTTTGTTTGTGACTTACCAGCAGCTAGCCAGACGGAGAATCGAACCCAGGTCATGTAATCGAGGTTGAGCATTAAGTACACGTTGATTAGGATACTAAGACCCGGTAACCAGGGCACTAACGGAACCTGAAAGAAGAAGAATAAGAATATATCAAGGAAAATTGAACTTTTATTAAAGTGATACGCCTTGAAAGATACTTAAACTTGCAAAGTTTCATCAAAATCGGCCAAGCAGTTTAGCTAGAACTTCTTTCCTAATCAACATAAAAAAACAACTTTGATGAATTGACATTTTGCCATCTACTAAACAAATACATCAAAGGTATCGTAAAATTAAACGACTCATTCAAATAAAACACTTTTAACGGTTTAAAACGCAAAATGTATTAGTTAACTCATTATTATTCATTTAAACTATAGCCCGACGTTCCAGATGCTTTGCAGCTGCCATGACCATGGCATGACAGTTTACGCGAGTAGTGCACATTTAAATGAAACACTTTAACGGTTTAAAACGCGATATATTAGTCTGCTGCAAAGCATCCGAAACGTTTAACTAATATATCGCGTTTTAAACAGTTAAAGTGTTTTATTTAAATATGTTGTGTTTCATTTAAATGAACAATACCTAATTAAACTTGACCGAATGTATGTCGAGATTACTATACTAGGTGTATTTTGTTTTTGGAATAATTAGAAATTGATTAGAAACACTCGACGTGTTCAACCCGTGTTTGACCCAGTTAAAAAAACGACCCGTTTATAAACCACACATGAATACAGCCTTCAAAATATACTTACCGAAAAGGCGAGTTTCTTCTCCGAGACCGGTTGCCGCGATATCGCAAGAAGAGTGCCCACGACGAGCACCGAACCCGACCCCAGCGCAACGGTCGGGCCCACCTCGCCGGCTAGAATCGCGTCTCCGTAAGAATTGATGCTGCCCATCGTGATAAAGCACCAGACGCCTGTACAGTGTAATTCCCCGTAATTTAAAAATCGAAAAAAACTTTTGACTCGGGCAGGACATGAACATTGAACCGGCATCGTCAGCGTTCCGTGCTGTTGAACTACCAATTGAACTACCGAGTTCCTACACCTGATCGTCGAATTTTTTCAACTTATTGATGCATGCACCTCTCTCGCAATGTAATTTCAACCGTAACACTTGCGTATTAAGGTATTAAGGCATGTATAGATAAGCTGAAAAAATCCATATAACACCTAAACAAGATGCGTTGTCGGCCTATTTAGGCTTTGTATATTCGAAAATCCACAGATTAACAAGATAGAAATAAAAAGTGAAAACCCGTTTCCCCCACGTGGGGAATGGAGCGAACACAGTTTTGTGTCCGTTTCACTAATCAGTTCTTTTAACGGGCTAGTAGTTGATCAGACTTCTGTGCCCTGCCCGACCGAAACAATTTTTTTTTGTTCGGGTTCGAACCTAGGATCTCTCGCGCTCAAGGCAATGCTAGGCAATACGTTTAACCATTTACCTACAATGGCGGTTAACAAGATACAAATAGAAACATATAAATAAATCACTTTAACGGTTTAAAACTCGAAATATATTGGTTAACTTATTTTTCATTTATTTAAATCCCCCCATCACGGTTGTTGCAAAGCATCCGGTAACTCAATTGGTTAGAGCAACAGCTCGGAACGCTGTGGACGCCGGTTCAACGTTTGCCCGGGTCATATATCTTTTTTAGACAAATTAAAACACTCTTGCGCAGTATTTTTCAAAAACAAAAGACAATCGGCCTAAAAAATTCAAAGAAAATTTATTAAGAGAAGTCAAGTATAGATCTTACCATATAAGCTCACAAGGACCGCTACAGTGGCTGCGCTTAGGCGTGTCGGCACAGTAGCGCCGTCTAGATTCAAAAGCTGTCTCCCGCAACCACGGACGGACAGCTGGAGAGGTTCGGAAGCACGATGGACGCTTTGACTCCGTTCATATCTGGAATAGGCGAGGACATTGGTGAAATGGTTCATGATTAAAGGCCTTCAACAGCTTTGGTTGACAGATTTTTTTAAAATACTGTATAGTTTACCCGAGTACACATTTAAATAAAACACTTTAACGGTCTCCCCGTGACCACAACTGCTGCAAAGCATCCGAAACGTCGGGCCGAAGTTAAAATCATTTCCAAGTAAGTTTAACTAACTATTAGAACCACACTAAAATACACTCTGTCGCTCACATGGCGTGTTTAAGAAAACAAAACAAATAACGCCATCTAGCGTCCAACTTATGAACTACACAAAATAAAACACACGTATCGAATTATAAAAAATAAATAAAAAAGGTACACTTGGGAGCGAATTAATGATTTTATTCCTGACAATTACGATGACAACATAAAAACGATTCGAGAAAAATAGATAATGGATTAAAGTAGGTATTTTGTTATGATAGAGGTATTCCAGCCATATAAAATCTCAACAAAATGTGCCGTCGCTAATTTAGGCTTTAGATATTCGGAAATCCACAGACTGAAAGCGAAACGCGAACTTCACGACTTTTTCATGCACGGTGGTTAGTAACCAGGACGGTATTTCGATCTAATTGTGATCCCGGTGTACTCATTAGTAAAAAATACTCAGCGTACCAACCTCAAGAGTAGAACGCAGGAAGCAACCATGGAATAAGCCAACAAAGTCCCAATTGACATCATATGGATGAGTTGTTCCAGTTCGAAGACCATCGCCAGGGTACCTGGAAGAAGCAATACATCATCAAGAACTATTCTTCATTGCCTCATTACTATCATAAGCTAGCTGTGCCCGCGACTTTTTCCCCTATTTCTCACTTTCCACTCTGGTCGCAGCCAATTTTATAGCCTAAAGCCTTCCTCGAGAAATCGTCCAACCAACACAAAAATAATGTTTCAATTCGAACTAATAGTTCCTGAGATTAGCGCGTTCAAACAAACTCTGCGGATGAGATGAATATGACTGACTGCAGAAGGTCCAAGATTCGAAATCGAAAAAAAGAGTATTAGTTATTCCCAAAACTTATTTATTGCTACAAATTTGGCCATTATTCTTAAACGGATCAAAACGCGATATATTCTTATTATTACAGGTTTCCTTTGATGGAGAAGGGCAGACAAATTTGAACCCCATCAAAAACGAACAAACAAACAAAAAATACTTTTTTTCACCACAATGTTCAAAATTAAAAAAAAAAAACAAAATGTAGCGTGAAAAGGCGGCCTTACCGCTAAAAAGCGATTTCTTCTAGGCAATCTTGAAGTTGGAGTTTTACAATAATAAATGATAATAATAAGGGTAACACTACAGCTTTAATAAGTTTGTCCCAACCCATGTCTGTCTTCCGCTTTCACGAAACTGATTACACCCGGCCATTAGACATTTCGACAAGATGCGATGTCGATCTATTTTGGCTTCAACTGCGACACAGGTGACATCTATCGTAACTAACTGCTAACCTGTAAACAATCCAGCGACGACTGTCCCGACTAGTGGTGTTTGGTATTTCTCACTGACTCGACCCATAAACTGGAACAGGAGACCGTCGGACGACATCGCGTAGATGATGCGCGGGAGTGGAAACACGGCGCCCAACAGACTGCGTTAGAAGAGCAGATAATTAAACGTTTCAACAAATAATATTGTAAAATTTGATTTTACGACCAAAGAATGAATATAGAACGTTTGAAGAACCTGGGATCCGGATTTAATTCCCATCAAAACTTATTACTTTTTTCTGGTGTCTTAGAGCTGATATTGCAAGCCTAGAACTATTAATTCTAGACAGTAGTGTCGGTTGGTGCCCTTTTATATTGGAGAGCAATTAGCAGCATTTTGTCTTTTTTTCCTTTTTTACTTCAGAACCGGTAAAAATCGTGTCCACAGCAATAAATTGACAGATGTTTGTAAAGGCGTGTTAACTGTACGCCAGTGCCAGAACTGGTTTGCGAAATTTCGATCCGACAATTTTGATGGCGAAGAAGCACCAGACGGAAGCCCGGTCGAAGCTGACAAATATGGGATAAAGGCATTAGTCGATGCAAATCGGCGTATAACCACACGAGATGGCAAAAGGTTTGGACCAGAACGGCCAATATATAATTTAATCAAATATTTATTCAATATACGAAAAGTCGATTTGTCTAATTTTTATAATAACCATGTGAAAAATTCTTAAGTTTTCAAATGTATTAAATGTGTGCTCAATAATCCGTTTAAGTTTACGCAAATTAACGCGCATTCAAATAAAACTAATTTAACGGTTTCAAATGCGATATTTTCCTCAATCACCATAATTGCAAAGCATGGCAAATATAGGAGGCGTAGTTAAAAATAAGTTATTATATTATGATATTCTTCATTAGAAAGATCCTAGTGATGTAGCACAAAGTTCACTTCGCTTTATACTAGATGGCGCTAGCAGTGCCGAAACATAGATACTTTGAAATAAATATTTTTGACCTCTGGTACATTTCCCGCTGTTTTTTCGCTTCTATTAGTCACAGCGCGATGTTTTATAACCTATAACCTTAATCCATAAATGGCCTTACCAAAACAAAATGAATTTTTCAATTCGAACCAGTAGTTCCTGAGATTGGCGCGTTCAAACAAAACACACTCTTCAGCTTTATGTATTAGTATAGATATTTTTGTCAGAGGTTTGGACACCGTACCTTGAACACAGCGCGCAAATAGCACCAACACTGACAGCATACTTCGCCCAACTCCACCCCAGCTGGTCGTAGACGAAGGGGAAGGGGGCTTTTTCGTCCTATAAGAGAAATTGTAGATATTTAGACAGAAAAATAAATTTATTGACCACTACTATACGGCACACATAAAAAAGAAAACATAATTTAATCTTAACAGTATAACTTAGAATTAACAGTAAAAAAAAATAATGTTGTGTGTATAGAATAGGCTCTGAGTTATATGGCACTTATTCAGCTTATTTTAGACTCGTTGGACTTCCCACTCGAAATATCGTCGTTTCGTTATAATTTCACTTATTCGTTTGAATATGACACTTACAAAACTTTTAACGGTTTAAAACGCGAAATACGGTAGCCATTTTTCGACAGAGCATTAAAAATCTCGGGCCATCGTTAAAATAAGTTAACAAATATTTTTCGTGTTTTAAACCGTTAAAAGTTCATTTCAATGTACTACTCGCGTAAACTACAGTCAATCATTCAATTACGACAATCGATCTACTCTACTTAAATGTCAAACTTGAGGTACCACTGAAAACTCATTGTTACAACTATATCTCAGTGACCCACCATACCATGCCACCAATGAACCCACGATACCACTAATCAAATTTTAAACCACTCGAAAATTTGTAACACTCCAAATCTTTAAACTAACTAACTAGCGACTCGCCCCGGCTTCCCTCAATAACTAAATACATTACAGAAAAATGTCAACGTGTAATGAAAACCTTCCTCTTGAATATTCTATCTATTGAAAACCGCATCAAAATCTGTCGCGTACATTTAAAAAAAAAAAAAAAAAGGGAAAAAGGGGGGGGAAAAAGGGACTTATTTTATACTATGGAGCGATAAATAACTTACCTGCATATAGTAGGGCAACATAAGCGTGAGCACAGACGATACCCCGCAGTAGGCCAAAAACACAATCAACAAGGACGCGACTACTGCGAAGGGGATTGTCTTCTGTGGCCGTCGGGCTTCTTCGCCGGCTGTCGCTACGCAGTCAAAGCCTGCAAGTTTTACATTAAATGTTGCGTCATTTAAAAGTAAAACTAAACATACACACGCACATATACAAGTTAAAGTATCGCACACTCTACCCCCTCACACAAGGAGAGAGAGAAAGAGAAATAAGAGAGAGGGAAAAAGAAAAAGAAGAAGAGAGAGAGAGAGAGAAGGAGAGAAAGATAGAGACCGAGAAGGAGAGAGAGAACGAGTGTGTATTTTCCCACACTATGTGGGCAAAGCCCATAATAGAGCAACGCTTTTAACGGTTTAAAATTTGAAATATAGTCGGGGGACTGTCCGTGACCATGATTGCAAAAAAGCACACAAAACGTCAGGCCGTAGAAAAACTAACACATTTCCCGTTTTAAACCGTTAAAACTGCTCAAATTCAAACCACTGACCAATGAATCCATAAAAGCATACAGCAGCTCCCCTTATGATGCCGGCTAGACCATAAGGGGCGAAGCCCCCACTGCCAAAGTCCTTGGTATCGGACTTCGGTACCTCCGAAGCGGGGATACGCCAGTTCTTTGTGTCCGCTGAAAAAATAATATTTCCAGACTAAGTCAGTAAATATGCTAAATGGTTAAACGTGTTTCCCAGGATTGCGTTAAGCACGAAATGTCTGGAGTTCGAATCCCTGTTAGGCAATAGATTGCTTCGGGCAGGGCAGTCACATCAACTTCTTGCTTGTAAAAGAACCGATCAGCGAAACGGGCACAGAAGTGTGTTCGCCCCATGCCCCACAGGGGGGAACGAGACTGTTTTTTTTATTGAAATGTCTTTGTCAAAGTTTCAGTCCAAAAATAGTCTTGTAAAGTTTAATTTTGACCTTTTGACTTGGACACGATTTGAATCGTTTTTTTTTGGTGAATAATTCTTCTGTAAAGTTATATTGGCACATTAATAGCTGTGTAAAAATCCCACTTATCTCCATGTAGGATTAAACGAGCACACTTCTATGTCCGTTTCACTGACCTGTTTAATTAGTAGGTAATAAAGCGATACAAATATTTGTTTCCCGGGATATTGAATCCGGGACTTCTTTTACTTAACGTTCAACCCTTGAGATAGTGTCGTATTAAGGCACATTTGAATATTTTTTTGGCATTTTATCAGCATCTAGTTATTTTTTTTTCTTGTTGACTAAAAATCAAGTCCTTTATTTCACAAGACATAAAGAATATAACAACACAAACTTAAATATTAGCTTAAATAAATAAAAAAACAGAAAAAAAAACTACAAACCTTTTAAATACTGTTTATAGTTTACGCGAGTAGTGCACATTTAAATAAAACACTTTAACGGTTTAAAACGCGATATATTAATAAGTTTAACTAATTTATCGCGTTTTTAAACCGTTAAAGTGTTTTATTTAAATACAAAACTTTTAATAAACTAAATTAAAACATATGATATAGGCAACCGGTTTGATTCTCGCCTCGTATCGATAAACTCGAATCGAGAATACTCCTTTCGAAGTCGGTTAAAACATACCTTTAAACGATCCAGATATGATCACGAAGAGAACAACGCACAAGTTGACACCGGTGCAGAAGTTATTGAACTTCGTCGATTCCTTCACGCCGAACGCGAGCGCCACTAAAACATTAAATTTGTATCATATATTATTTAGTGATAGAGTAGGACTGACGGCGAAATACCCTAGCCATAATATCTAAAACACAATGCGCTGTCGGCCTATTTCGGCTTCGGTTGCTTCGAACTTTGAACATCACGGCTTTTTCATCTCGATATGACCGCCCATTTAATATTGGGACTTCCAGACGAGGTTTTGCGAACCTAAATTATAAACGAATACTATAAAGCTTAAGAGATTGTTTGTTTGAACGCCAAAATAGGCCGACAGCACATCTTGTTCAGCTAAAATATGGGCCGACTGTCATACGAAATATATTTATTATATTTTTTGGACAGGAACAAGTAGGTAGAGCAAAAACTCACCAGAGAATACCATGATGACAGTGAAAGCGAAGACATCTGGATACTTGGCGAGGTGTGGAGAGTCCATGGGCATCCACGCCAGAAGGCGAGTGGATATAGCCTTGTCTAGCAGCGAGTCCAGATACTCGCTCAGTGCTTTCGTCACTGACGCGGCTCCTGCAATGTACACGAAGAATATTTATGTAATTTATAATCTATACTAATATATAAAGCTGAAGTGTTTGTTTGTTTGAAAGCGCTAATCTCAGGAACTACGGGTTCGAATTGAAAAGTTATTTTTGTGTTAAATAGAGCATTTATCGAGACAGGCTATAGGCTATAAAACATCGCGTTGTGACTAATTGAAGCAAAGATACAGCTGGAAATGTGAACAAAACGCGGGAATTTTTTTCATATCTGTGGGTTTCAGATGCGTACGCTGCGAAAACGGTTTAAGATACCTAAAAGATGTGTATACAAGAATGTGTATAAATGTTTTTTTTTTAAAGTCCGCGACGCTGTGTCTATCTTTTGAGGTTGAATTGCAAGAACGACGGGAAGGGACGAGACACGAGATAACCGCTTAGGTTCATAAAGATGAAGGCGTTTAAATAAAACACTTTAACGGTTTAAAACGTGATATATTAGTGAAACTTATTTGGAAATGATTTTTAACTTCGGCCCGACGTTTCAGATGACACGTTACATCCGAAACGTTAAAGTGTTTTATTTAAATGTGTACTACTCGCGTAAACTATAGACAGTATTTGTTGAAGGTGTTTGCAAAGACACGGCTAGTCATTATATAACTGTGCTTCGTCTTAACGCTATTCACGAAATGTTTTATGCTCTATTAAATTCTACTTTTTATCGATGATTCAAAATATTACATTATCTCTTACCTTAGTCAATAGTTTACCAATTCAATATTGTTTGCAGTTTACGCGAAACGAATTAAAGTAAATACTGTCTATAGTTTAGCGAGTAGTACACATTTAAATAAAACACTTTAACGGTTTAAAACGCGATACATTAGTCTCCCCGTGACCACGGCTGCTGCAAAGCATCCGAAACGTCGGGCCGACGTTAAAAATCATTTCCAAATAAGTTTAACTAATATATCGCGTTTTAAACCGTTAAAGTGTTTTATTTGAACGATTTAAAGTACCTAATCCCAGCAGTGGGAACTGTTTAAGGGTTGAGTGGGAAACCGCAATATCCCCTCTGTTTATGTAGACTGTTAAGTACTATCTGTAGTCCACGCGAGTTGTTCACATTTAAATAATCTAAAGACTCCGTATCCTGTAGGTTCCCCTTATACCGTTTTTGGGTATAAAAAAAGTTAAATAACATATTTTACGCGTTTTAAACCTTTAAAAGTGTTTTATTTATGTGTACTACTCGCGCATACAGACAGTAATTTGAGTAAATAATCTATACTGAAGGGACGCGACCGACGTGGGTAAGAGCTTAAGTTTATAAAAATAAAGGGGTTTGTAAGAACGAATTAGGATGCCCAAAATAAATATTATTAGCGGACGAAGTCGCTGGCGCAGCTAGTGTTTCAAATGAAGATGTGTTTTTTTGTCATTTCATGCGAGAGCTATTAAACTTTGGAACAATTTACCTTCTAATATAACAAAAGCCCAGAATCTCGCTTCCTTCACGAATCTTGTCAAGCCCCACTATTTATGCCTAATTAAGTAACTTAGTTAAGATAAATTTTAGTAAGTAGGTAAAGTCCTGTTTCTGCTGTCACGCAATCCTTTTTTATTACTGAATTTTCGGTTGCTTGGAAGAGATAGCTATTTAACTATAAAGTCGCCGTTTGCCCTTAATTGCCATCAATTTTTTTTTGTTTTGTGACAATAAAGAGTATTTGTGTTTGTTACACTGAGTATCGAAGCCCCGACCGCACAAACAAAATACACATAATCACCAATAATATATTCGAGTATAAGATTCCAGCCGATGATGAACGCGATAAATTCCCCGACGCACACGTAACTGTAGACATACGCTGACCCGGCTTTGGGTACACGTGCACCGAACTCAGCATAGCATAGACCTGAAACATAACCTCGATATCTCAACAGGCCTTTGTATCAAATAGTTATTTAGCATCAGCAATTTGAAGATAGCTTACTCATATTACGTTAGCGATTCAATATTTAAGATAGATAATTATTTAAAGCTCGTTTAACAGGCCAATGGTAGCGATGTACGGCTAATAACGAATGGGCCACAGGTTCGATTTCCATCAAATCTAATATGTCTCTTAGTAAATATATTTTTCTAAACGATTTTCAAAAACTGGAAAATATCGTAATTCCGCCCGAGGGCGACGAATTATCTTAGCAATGTATGGCTTATAAGGAGTCGTGGGTCCGATTTCCACCAAGTCCCATCGCATCTTGTTTAGATGCTATAGGCTGGGGTATATCACCCACCATCCCAAGGGTGGGGCCCTTGTCTATTAGTGAAAAAAATCAATGTACGGCCAATAACGGGTTCGATTCCCACCGGGTAATTTTTCTAATTAATGTATAATTATTCTATAACGATTTAGACAAAGTGAAATATAGACACTAAATGAGCGATGGGAATACTGAAATTTCGGGTCACGAACCACAGCCAACGGATGAAAAAGCCGTCAAGTTTCAGTCTGTGGATTTCCAACTATCCAAAGCCCAAATAAGTCGACAGCACATCTTGTTTAGATATTACATAGCAGGTGTATTAAAGTATCTATCATCAAGAGAACCATGGTGTCCACTTCATTCTCCTCCTTTATGATAAAAAAAAACACTTACCAGCGAAAACACTAGCAACGGCCGCCAACAGAAACGAAAGCACCACAGCTGGTCCAGCATAATTCTTAGCCACGTCGCCGGCGAGCACATACACGCCAACACCAAGTGTGCTACCGACTCCCAAAGCTGTTAAGTCCAACGCCGACAGCACACGAGCTAGTCTGGCCACGCCCTCTTCTGCTGCTTTGCGGCGAGACAGCACACGGTAAGCTAGTCTTAGGGCATTTGCTGCACCAGCTTTGAGACCACCTGATTGAGGGATTAATCATACTTAGTAGCCATCTTGAAAACTGATAAAACAATGATGTCTTAGTAAGATGAGCATTGGTTGACTGATATAGTCAAAAAATCTATTTACTTATATATTATACTTGCTGACGCGGCAGACGTTGTTTCGTCATAAAAATAATTTCTAGGTAATTTGAGGATAAAAAAACCAATGTCAGGGGTGGAAAACCCTTAACCAGGGCTAAGAAAAAGAGATAATAACCAATTCGAGCCATTTCGGAGGAGTTTGGTAACTAACACTGTATAATGAATTCGAAAGATAGATGGGACTAAATAACTATTCTCCGCGGATTAAGTCGCTGACACAGCCAGTACTAATTTACTAAGCTGAAGAATTTGTTTGTTTGTTTGAACGTCCTAATTTCTGGAACTACTGCTTCTAAACATTATTTTGTATTGATAGGATTATTTACCACATAGGCTATAACCTAATGGAGCGAAGAGAGGTGATATTTTGAACAAAGAAATACAGAATTAAATCAAAACCGGCTTCATAAAAGTATTAAAACTTTTTAACCGGCTAATCTATACAAATTCTAGCTGAGCAGGCAAACGTTGTTTTGCCATATAAATAATTTTACTAAAATGTCCATTAAAAATAAGGGTTGATCGTAGAAGGGTGAAAATTGAGGATTTTATGTGTTTTTGTATGTTGTATCATAAAAAAATAGAAATTAAAAAGTTTGTCTAAAAAATAAATAAATAAATTAAAGGTGAACAACCCTTATCACTTAGGGGGATGAAAAATAGATGTTGTCCTATTCTCAGACCTACTGAATACACATATCAAATTTGGTGAAATTCGATCGAGCCGTTTCGGAGGAGTTCAAGTTCGAACACCGTGACACGAGAATTTTATATATTAGATATAAAGCTAAACAGTTTGTTTGTTTGAACGCGCTAATCTCAAGAACTACGAGTTCAATTTGAAAAAGTCTTATATCGAGGAAGGTTATAGGCTAAAAAACATCGCGTTGTGACTAATAAAAGCGAAGATACAGCGAGAAATGTGAACAAAACGGGAGAAATTTTTTCACCTCTGTGGGTTTCAGATGCGTACGCTGCGAAACCAATTAAAGATACCTAAATAATGTGTATGAAAGAATAATTCCTCTTTAAATTATCTAAAAAAAATCCGCGACGCTATATGTCTATCTTTTAAGATTAACTTGCAAGAACGACGTGAAAGGACGCGACCGACGTCGTGGTTAACAGCTTAAGCTTATAAAGATGACGGGGGTTTGCAAAAACTAATTTGAATGCCCAAAATAACGATCCTCGCGGACGAAGTCGCTTGCACAGCTAGTAAATAAAAATGGCTGACAGTTTCCAAACACAAGTATTTGCCTGAAATTTATCGATCTATATAAGTTCTAAATAATTAATTATTACCAAGCAGAACAAAGATTGACCACATTATGACACACAACCGTTGTAAGTACTGAGACAGACTGATTTGGTTCAATAACTCTTCAATTGGTCTCGTTGAGATAGGAACAATTAATTTACAGACCAATTGATGTTCGATCGATACTTAATATATTTTATTATTAGTAAAATTTGACAAAGCTATGTAGTTCAATAATTTATTAGTTTCGTTGCGATAGTCAGAACAATAGTTTTGTTATAGTGAGTTTAATCAACATGTATATAAATACTGTCTATAGTTTACGCAAGTAGTGCACATTTAAATAACACTTTAATGGTTTAAAACGCGATATATTAGTCTCCCCGTGACCACGGCTGTTGCAAAGCATCCGAAACATCGGGCCGAAGTTAAAAATCATTTTCAAATAAGTTTAACTAATATATCGCGTTTTAAACCGTTAAAGTGTTTTATTTAAACATGTATATATAGATAAAATTGGTCACTGAAAAAATACGAAAATGTGCCTATATGCTTTGCAGAAAAGAATTGAATCTAGGTAAGTATAACAGTTTTATTGTAATCTTGTTTCCTCCTGTGTGGGATACGGAGCATAGTTCTGTTCTCTGTCTGTTCACGGATAATTTTTTTAGAAGAATTTAGTTTATTAAACTTTCGTGCCATGTCTCACGCACACAATTTATTATTTCTCTAAGATTCAAACCTGCACTTTTACTCTATTAATCATGTAATGTAGAAAAATATATATCCAATCATCTTATATGCCATACATCATTTAATTATGTACGTAACATATTTATTGAAGTATAAATATATCATATATATTGGCAGTCAACCCTTTTCACATTTAAATTAAAAAGATGTCCAGAATGTTCTATATTTAAATCATTAAATGATATTGTTTTGTATGATGAAATAAATTACATCCTAGATCGTTGTAATATTTGGGTTGTCTAAAGTTAATCCATCATCAATGAAGTAAGTTTTTAATACATCTTTACCTCCAGAGCCGCCCAGTCTCCACAAAATATAGAACGACCCAACAATATAAAAAAAAAAAAAAAAAAAAAAATCCCAAAAAGGCAAGACACAAATTAGAAAAATATGACTCAGGAATAAATTAAATACTTTGATTTATTACATTGAAGATGTTTCATTTTGTAAGCACAAAACATTTATGAAACTTACCATCATTATAAGCCTGTTTAATGGTCACACCATTCATAGGGCTCCCACGTGGAGCCCTGTTATTTGAATAACCATTTTCCTCCGGAAAATTCATTTCAAGTTACACCGCATATAACCTACAAAACTGCACTTTTATATTTATTTAAATTACACATAGAACTAGACCGATATATAATAATTATGAATGTGCCTTAGAAACATGTCTAAGTCAGACTGGAGCGATTGTAACTAGAGCTAATACATGAAATTATTCTTAAACGGAGTTGCATCATCTCTTGTATTGTTTGCAGTTTTCTTCTGACTTTTCAAGTGCACCATATGACTTTGACATCTTTTGAATTGTCAATGTCAAAATATTGACAAAGTGCGGTCATCGCTTAAATATAGATAATATTGGATTTTAAAATTCTTTACAATATATAGGACCTCGTTAGAGAAGTACGCACTTACATGTAAATTTGTGTTGAAATTATTGTTATTTTTTGTAAAACAGTAAACAAATATCTTCTATCTATCTTGAATAACTCCAGAGCTATAGAGGAACGGCCAAATAAAATATTATGTAGATGTTGACCAAGTAGTACACATTAAGCATTTATAAGCTCAACTGTTTTTTTTTTTTTTTTTTTTTTGGATTTGTTGGGCCTATGGATAATACTAGGGGCGTTTTGGGCGGGGGGGGGGGGGAGGGGGCGGGGGTTGGGGGGGGAAAAAGGGGGGGCCCGGGGGGGGGTTGGGCCCCGGCTTGGGCCGCCGCAATGCGGGTGGGAGCTATAAGGCTGTACTTAAGCTCACCCGGGTGAAAAGCGGGGGGGGGGGGGGGGGGGGGGGGGGGGGGGGGGGCGGGGGGGGGGGGGGGGGGGGGGGGGGGGGGGGGGGGGGGGGGGGGGGTACCCGGTAAGCGGGAATTGACACTCGCCTACGCCGGCGTGAGGCGGTTCTTGGGGCGGGCGAGGGTCGGCACCGGTGTCGGCCGATCGCATAGCAATAAGTAAGTCGACGGCTTTGGTTAAGTCGTCATGGCGGGGGCGGTGAGGAACGTTTCGCGGCCTTCTCCAGCGTGTTTAATGGGAACGGTGTAGTTGGCGGCCCGGGCCACAGTGGGTTGGATGCGTCGCGGCTTTTTTAAAGAAACGTTCGGACGTTTCCTTGAAGTACCGACTGAGGGTCGGTAATTCGAGATCGGCGTAAGCTCAACTGTTTTTAAATTCTTCATATATAAACTATTATAAGGAAATATTGGGTACTTAAACAACTACTAGGTAAGTTAATTGATACTTACTGTTAAAACGTATAACTAACCTAACCATAAATATTTTAACGTAAGAACCCAATGCTTCAGAGTTCTTAATTACATTCAATTATAACACGGCGATTAATTTATGAACTTTCCAAAAAGTAAAACACTTTAACGGTATTAAAACGCAATATATTTGTTACAACTTATTTGAAAACATATATTTTTAATGTCTTCGGCCCGATGTTTAGGATTGTGATGCTCTTGTGTTGTCTACCTTAACAATTTTTAAAGGGCAACTAGTTTTATATATTAATATATAAAGCTAAAGGGTTTGTTTGTTTGAACGCCGTAATATTAGGAACTACTGATTCAAATTGAAAAATTCTTTTTGTGTTGGGTATTCTATCGAGGAGACGAGGAATGCTAAAGGCACACATCGCGATGTGACTAATAGGACCAAACGAGTAATGTGAAAAAAACGGAGAGAATTATAATTATGTGTTTCCAACGGTTCAAGATATTTAAATATGTATGATATAATTAATCCTCTTTAAATGATCTAAACAAAGCCCGCGACGCTATATGTATAGATAAGATTAACTTGCAAGACCGCGGGGCGCGGACGACGTCGTGGGTATCAGCTCAAATTTATAAAGTTGAACAGGGGCTTCGTAAAAAAAACTTCATATCCAAAATAATTATTCTACGGACGAAGCCGCGTGACACAGCTAGTATATATTTATTTATTTATTGGTCTGCCTGCGTTAAATTACATTCATAGAGTAGATGACAAGTGCATTTAACAATTATTGGCAAACACATCATTCGCCAAAAGACAAGACAGACTAAATTAAACAAAAACATAATTATGTAATTAAAAAGAAAGAACAAAAGAGTTATTACTTAAATAAAGCTACAAACGAAGCCCCGATTAGTGACCAAACGTCATTCAAACTTGTAACTAGATCTTGCCATAAACAAACACGTTACATAAAATCTGTTTTTTAAACCTTCATAAAGAAAAAAACAACATAATGTATTTAAATAAAACACTTTAACGGTTTAAAACGCGATATATTAGCTAATCTATATTATATTGCCGTCCATTGCTCTCCATTCTAGTCATATAGGTTTAATTTGTAATATTTTTATATTTTGTGCAATAAAGAATATATATATAAATAACTATATATTATAATATATATTAACTAATATATCGCGTTTTAAACCGTTAAAGTGTTTTATTTAAATGTGTACTAATCGCGTAAACTATAGACAGTATTTAATATAATGTATGTTTAAGTAGTGAAACACAACGTTTAACAAAACATTTGGTAATTGTTATACATATTTTGTTTCCTTTCAACATGATATAAATTTAATCTATAAAATGTTCGGGACTTGAATCGGCATTCGCTTTGTTTCGTGCTGTTGCTCTAACTAACCAATTGAGCTCGGTAGCTCAATTGGTCGTGCGGTCGGCGGGAGTTGTCACAGTTGTCATACACGTCATCGTCGAATTAATTCAACCTATTGATTCACCTTCTTTTAAGACGTAATGTACCTGTAAGTATATTAGGTACATACATTATAAATAGCTAATAAGGGGTTGTCCATTAATCACGTGACCTTTTTTTAGAATTTTTGAACCCCCTCGTAATACGTAGTGAGGTTTGAGACCACCCCCCTCTCCCCATTCTCAACATCACGTGTATTTTTAGTACCTACAAAGGATTTTAAAATTTTCTGAATATTATCCTAATATAAATAAATAGGTATAAACTATAATCTTATTTTATTCTGAAATTAAGGACCATAATAAAAATGTTACACCATTGTTTAAAAAACGCAAATACACGAGATATCTTATTGCACCCCCCCCCCTCTTGTGTTATTTTCGTGATTTTTATCAAACACCTCCCCCCCCCCTTTCAAGCCTCACGTGATTAATGGACAACCCCTAAGGTAAATTTAATAAGACCTATTCAGCGCATTAATAATATAAGGAAACAAATATTTATCCATATTCCGTCCCCATACGAAATCAATGTGATTCATCAACTTATAGTCTAACACCTTATACTCTACCACATTCGGTAGACGGTCTCTCAGCGTTTCCACATCTTTGAGACTCGCTAGTCCATCGTTCCTCCCAGCCAAGAGCACAATTCTCATACTGACTTTGCGCAAATCATATTTTGGTGGGTAGCTTTGTCCGTAAACTTCGTTGTTCTTCGAGCCGTAGTCGAACTGGGAGAAACTGTTTAGGTACCCCTGAGCTAAGTGGACAGTGTTCTTTCTCGAGGAACCTGTTGGATAATGTTCGATGATCGTGGGGAAGAAGTCAGGTTCGATCTCATCTGGATCGTTACCGCCGATGGGGAAGAAGACACCACGAGCACAGATATTGTAACACTCTTTACAACCACAGAAGTACCTCAACGCAAGCCGGAGCACAGTTTTGTCACCAAAGACTTCTTCCTCGCCGGTCTTCAGTAGGACGTTCGAAATTAACGGCACAGACTTCAGCACTGTCGACGATGGAGGTTTCACGTTGTTGAAGTAGCAGATTGGGGACAAAGCAATCATGACTCTCACCTTCTTGTTATAAACTGGTCTCGTGGAACCCAGAACGTAAAAGATAGTGTTCCCTTGCGAATGTCCAATCGCACTGAGCTGATCTTTACCAGTTCTATCCAGAATGAAGTCGATAATCGCTGGAAGGTCGTAATAACCTATTTCGTGGTAGCTAAAGTCCCAGAACATCGCATCCCCATCAGGGTTCAGTCTGAGATGTCTTCTACTGTACCTGCCACCTCTGACGTTGGCTGACCATACATCATAGTCGTTTTGTGCCAAGTTCGCAACTAAAGATCGATTTCCCCTGATGATATAGGTGTCTGAAGAGTCTAAGAACCCGTGTACTAGTAGCACGGGGTCTTTATTACCTCGTATGCGGAAGAGGGTTAAAATGTATCCATCTTCCGTCACGACCTCGTATTCTTCCGATGTATAACCAAGAGTTTGGGCTAAGGTTGTGTAATTTTTCGTTTCACAAGTATAGGTACAAAACACAGATAACACTAACACTAGATGGAGACGCAGTGACATTATTATGACGTTCTAGTAATTATTGTAATTATGAGGTGTTGTTAGTCTGTAGATTTGTAACAACTGGTTTACAAACACATCTTGATATAGCTCAACCGTTGGAACCTTGTAGGAAGGAGATTCTGTTTTGACCTTACATTATAAAGTTAGTGATATCTGAGGTTGTTTAGATTTTTTTATATTGGCTCATTGTAAGCTTCAAGGAGGTTTATAAATATTAGGAAGGTTAATTTTGAAATGCTAAATATATTGTATAAATTTGTTAATAAAATCGAATCAATGTTCAATTTGAAAACTTTAATATTTAACACATGATGGCATTATTTATATTTGTATTAAAAATCGATTTTATGGTTGAAAAAATTTACGACACGAGAACGACTTGAACCGGCACTCACAGTTACCGTGCTTTCGTCCGTCCGTTTTTTTGTTTGTATTGGTTAGAAAACGGAACGCCGTGGATGCCGGTTCGAGTCCCGCGGAGTTTTAATTTTTTTTTTCAATTCCATTTTTAAACAAAATTACATTTTTAAAATACTAACTGATCCGTCACTCGTAATTTTGTTTTCAAGTATCATTATCATTATGTTGATAAAACTCCAACAAATAATTGGTAAATAATTCATTAAACATTTACCATAACAACCTTGCGAGTTAACGTTAAGAGTTAGACGTATATATTGTCATGGACATATAGTTAGATTATTTATTGTTAAATACTGTCTATAGTTCACGCGAGTAGTACACATTTAAATAAAACACCTTAACGGTTTAAAACGCGATGTATTAGTTAAACTTATTTGAAAATTATTTTTAACTACTCGAAATACTCAATTTTAATAGGTTTTAAGCTAAGCTAAATAAAGTTAAATAAAGTTAAGTTAAATTAACTTTGGCCCGACGTTTCGGTGGCCGTGAATCTCCCCGTGACCACGGCTGCTGCAAAGCATCCGAAACGTCGGGCCGAATTTAAAAATCATTTTCAAATACGCAGTGTTATACTTATATATGCGTTTTAAACCGTTAAAGTGTTTTATTTAAATGTTATTTATTTTTTTTTATATTTTTTGATTTCTTGAATTTTATCTATTATATTTACTTGTTTAAGAAAACCGGTTCCAATTTATACTAATATATAAAGCTGACGCGTTTGTTTCTTTGAACGCGCTTATCTCAGGAACTACTGGTTCGTTATGGGAAACCATTGTGCTGTAACGAATAGTTGATGTGGAAAAAACGGGAAAAAGTATTCATCTTCGTGGGTGTCCGACGCGTGCGCTGCGAAACCGGTTCAAGATACTAGAAAATAATATGTATAAAAGAATGATTCCTATTTAAATGATAAAAAAAAATTTTTCAGTGACTTCTTTTTTTAGGTTAACTTGCAAGAAAGACGGGACGTGACCGACGTCTTGGGTAACGGCTTAGGTAAAGATGGAGGTTTGCAAAAACAAATGTAGGTACCTAAATTCTACGCGAAGGAGGTCGCTGACACAGCTAGTGAGTTATAAACTTCAATACTTACCCAAAATTTGTAAGAAAATATGTTTTTCCTTCGTGCCTAAATCCATTATTAATTTAGACCATAATTTCCTTAGAAATATTCACCTCTATAAAATAACAATGAAACAGGGTCACACACTGCTTGAAAACACACGTTAACTGATTCGCTTATAAGTATGTTTTGCAATGCTGTCTGCATTTAGTTTTTTGCAAAACATCAAATGTTAAAATGCTTACATAAAATTTACGATATTAAAATATTATGATTAACATTGTATAGCTTTGTATTGTCTGTAGTCTACGCGAGTAGTAAACATTTAAATAAAACACTTTTGACGGTTTGAAACACGAAATGTTTCAGTTAATCACTGTCTGTAGACAGTGAATTAACTACAGTTTAAGAGTTGTACGCATTAAAATAGATTTTTAATTGTTGGAAACGGAAAATGTATTAGTTAACTTATTGAGCATCCGCTATGTCGGGTTGCACTAGAATTAGATTGTAAATAAGTTCATAAATATATTTCGTGTTTAAAACGTTAAAGTGTTTCATTTAAATCGTATAGCTATTCCCGAAGTAAGACGTAATTCTATAAATATTTTTATCACTAACTGGATAGTTTACTTGACTTGACTTGACTTTTAAACGTTAGAGATTTGAAAAAAAAAATGTGAAATCTATTTCTTCCCCGGGATTCAAACCTAGGGCCTCTCGCACTGAACTCAATGTTAGGCAACACCTTTAACCATTAAGCAATAGAGTCTAATAAGTCTAATTGAGATCTGATTTGTAAAGTGGGTCAATAAAAAACACAAGGTTGCAAGGTCATTTATTTTGCTATTCACAGATGTTCATTCACTGTCGGGCCTACAGCTTTAGCGTTTTAAATGAGCACAGCTTGAAGAAACACATCGACGGGATCACTGAAATGTGAAAAGTGTGTTTAGTGAAATTTTTTAACAGTTTTGTAACGGCGGAAATGTAGGACAAACGGAGAAAATCATTTTTGATCCGTCATTTTGTGATCTAAAAAATGTACGCGACATTTTCACTCTTATCACAAAACAAGGACCAACTGTCAAAGCTGGTCTAAATCCTGGCTTATTTGAAATCCTTATTACAAAACGAAATTTAACGTTTCTACTGGACTAACTATGGTACTAACTTAGATTTATTTAGACCATAAGAATTAAACCAAGACTCCGCAGTTCTGGTTTAAGATTTTTTTGTAATAAGGCCGTTTATGTCCATCTTGTAAGATTAACTTGCCAGGACAAGGGGTGCAGACGACAGCGTAGCTAACAGCTTCAAATTATAAAGATGTGGAGGTTTGCAAAAATTAATTTGAATGCCTAAAAAAACTATTTTTCGCAGACGAAGTTGCGGGCACAGCTAATAGATACACGTTAGACCGGGTGGGCATCGAACCTTTTCCCTTCTTGAAAGTCCATTTTCGTGTTGCGGCGCGCGGGACTTTGTAATCCTCCTTTGGATGAATGGATGTCCCTAGTCTCTTGTCTAATTCTTTTATCGTTCTGTCTGTCTGTTCCGCACTGAAATCTGACCTAAAACGAATCGAGTATATCGTTAATAGTATTTACACAAATGTATATAGAGGCTGCTAAAAGTAGAGTGGTCTAATAGCAAAAAACATGATTTTTAATAACAAGATTATAACTTAGGCGAAAAGGAATTTGTGTAAGAATCATGTTAACAATTTTCGTTCACTGTGCTCTTGTAGATTAACATTTTAAGACTGTAAATATAAATAAATCAAGTTATAAAAAATGCAGTTAGAACACTCTGGCTCTAGCAACTTCATATTATATATTTAGTATAATGTCAAATTAATAACACATCATGATATTTAGTTATAAAGGTGCAATAAAATCTAATAGGTTTGGTCATTAAACCCACCTGTGACCCTATATTGCTGGTTGATAGCTAATAATAATTAATAAAACTTAAAAACATGCTTTACTTGTGTGTGAAATCCCGTTTCCCCTCGTGGGGCATGGGGCGAACACATTTCTGTGTTCGTTTCACTGATCCGTTCTTTTTACAGGCAAGTAGTTAATCAGACTTCTGTGCCTTGCCTTACCGAAACAATTTTATGTTTCCCTGGGATTCGAACCCAGGACCTCTCGCGATTAACGCAATGCTAGGCAATTTTAGCCATTTGGCTACAGAGGTAGTCGATGCCATGTCATGCTTTATTTTATTAAGTAACTCTCAGTCTGCACAGCTCGTCGGGCCGTAGTTAAAATAAATTCTAAATAAATTGACTTAATATTGATTTATATGCGCGTTTTAAACCGTTAAAAGTGTTTTATTTAAATGTGCTAGTGTAAAGAACATACGAACTTGGCTATCGTAGATTTTATCATTACATATTAAAATATTCATGACATTTAACCATATGCTAGCTACTTTGAGCACGAGAGGTGCTGAGTTCGAATCCTGGGGAAACAATAGACTATTTCGATCAGGTAGGGCACTGCAGTATGATAGTCTGTATAGGCTGTAAATGAAACCAATTAGTGAAAAGGACACAGAAATGTAATCGCCCCAACTCCACTGCTAAATAACTAATACATTTCGCTTTTCAAACCGTTAAAAGTATTTTATCTAAATTCTTACCAGTCAAAGTCAGATGTTTGCAATCCATGCATTAGTTTATGCAGAAATAAATCACGTGTCCAGTTTTCCTCTGAGATCGAAGCCTTGTCTCCCGGATTCCATTCATCCATGATCTGGAATTAATTTGTGGGGTAATGAAAAAGCGATGGTAGAATAAGTAAAAAAGAAAAACAAAGAAGGACGCAAACTTTTATATTTTGCACATGATGGATCTATATAAATTTAAAATCACTACATAAAATAAAGTCGCTCTTTCTGTCCCTATGTACGCTTAAATCTTTAAAACTACTCGACGGGTTTTGATGCAGTTTTTAATAGATAGAGATTAGGAGCTTTTTACATACAACAGTTTTCTGTATTGTATTTAGTATCGCATGTGCACACGAACAAAGCCGAGGCAAGTCGCTAGTCGATTATAAATTAAAAAAAAAAATTAAGCGAAAAAATTCGACGATTCGTGTAGGACTCGGTAGCTCAATTGGTTAGAGCAACAGCACGACACGCTGTGGATGCCGGTTCGAATCCAGCCCGAGTTAAAAGTTTTTCAATTTATCTTAGATCTTAAATTTATATAAGGACGCAACAGTTTTGAAGGTAATAATAAAATATAACACTGAACGCTGTGGTCACTACCACTACGGTTCGAGATCCGCCTGTGCTTAAATCTATACTTATATTATAAAAGTGAACAGTTTGTTTCTCACTATAATTGTTTAAACGCGCTAATATTACAAACTACTGGTTCGAATTGAAAAATTATTTTCGTGTTGGTTGGACCATTCATCGAGTGATGGCTTTGAAATGTGACACAGAAACGATCGGGAAATAAAAAATGGTTTATGAGTAACCTTAAAATATTTATTTAAACATTAGTACTTATTTGTCGGTCCCCTGTGAAGAACAACGGCCCAGCCAGCAAGCATTCCAACGTCGAGCCGACATATAACATTTACAATTTATCGGAAACCGTTAAACTGTTTTAGGTAAAGAAGAGGTTGTTTGCAAAGAAAAAACAAAATTTGAAGCCAAAAATAACTATTCCATATGGACGAAGTCGCGGGCACAGCTAATTAATAAAGCTTAAGAGTACTGTCTATAGTTTACGCGAGTAGTAGACATTTAAATAAATCACTTTAACGGTTTAAAACGCGATATATTAGTTAAACTTATTTGAACTTATTTGTCGTGTCCCCTGTGACCACGGCTGCTGCAAAGCATTCCAAACGTCGGGCCGATTTCAAATAAGTTTAACTAATGTATCGCGTTTTAAACCCTTAAACTGTTTTATTTAAAAGCTTAAGAGGTTGTTTGCAAAGAAAAAACAAATTTTTAAGCCAAAAATAACTATTCCATGCGGACGAAGTCGCGGGCACTACATAATCATACCGAACTAACCTGCTGTGGAAAGTGTGTTTCGTAAAGACCAAATGTTGAACAAATAACCAAGAAGAGAATCAGAGTTGACGTCATAGTTGGTTCTTATTATCTGCTACCTGGAAAGAATATCTCATGAAACAATTCGGATTGTTAGCTATATAATGTAATTTGTTTGAACGCGCTAATCTCAAGAACTACTAGTTCGAATTGAAAAACATAATTATACCATCTGTGTGAGTTTACGCAACAGGCAGTGTACGCAGCTCACTGCAAAACGATTAAAGTAACCCAAAAAATATAATATGTTTGAAAGAATGTTTCCTCTTATAAAATAACTAGCTGTGCCCGCGACTTAGTTCGCGTGGAATAGTGGCTTGGAGTATAATTTTTAATTTTTTAAGGCTGTTTATTAATTTACGTAATTGCGAATTTATCGCAGCCAATCTATGTTGTAAGTGCTACTTTACACCACTCATACCTCACATCACTCCTACTCTCCCTCATATTCCCAAAAAGCAAAAAAAGAAAGTTTCATTGTTCTAGCTGTGGTTTTTTAACCACGAATATCCATATAAACTCACCCCCCCCCCACTTAACCCCTTACAACCCCCTTTTCACAATAAAAAGTAGTCTATGTCCTTTTTCAGGCTCTAGACCATCTGTGTACCAAATTTCATTTAAATCTATTCAGTAGTTTTGGCGTGAAAGTATAACAGACAGACAGACACAGTTACTTTCGCATTTATAATATAAGTAAGGATGACCGCGAGTATATGTCCATCTTTTAAGATGCCCTTGCAATATGGGACGCGGACGATGCGACGACGTGAGTAACACCTATAATATAAAACTTTTGAAGCCCAAAGTAACTTATTTACTCGAACCAAGTCGCGGGCACAGCTAGTATCTTCAGCCAATTTAACCCAGACTTATGTACGTAGGTCATGTATACATGTCGCGTGCAAATTGAGGACAATATGCTTAATTTGAACAGACACAAACAATGAACAGGTCGACAGAACAAACAAATAGATAATTAGCTAATTACTTATTCGGAACTCGGATGCCATAAGCCAATTATCTATACTAATATATAAAGCTGAAGAGTTTGTTTGTTTGAACGCGCTAATCTCATTTATTTCGAATTACGGGCTCGAATTGAAATTATTTTTGTGTTGGTTAGATCATTTATCGAGGAAGGCTTAAAAACATCGGCCTGTGACTAATACAAGCGAAGAAAATTATGAGTTCCCGAGGCGTACGCTGCAAAAACTGTACAAGATACCCCAAAAACAATTATGAAGGAATGATTCCTCTTTAATGATTAAAAAAAAGTCTGCGACGCTGTATGTCTATCATTCAAGATTGACTTGCAAAAACGACGGAAAAGGACGCGACCGACGTCGTGGGTAACTGCTTAAGGTTATAAGGAAGGGGTTTGCAAAACCTAATTTGGATGTCTAAAATAACGATTCCCGCGAACGAAGTCGCTGGCGCAGCTAGTTAAAATATAATTCTAGTGTTGTCTGTAATTGATAAGATAGATAAAACAATTTTAGTTGTTGTATATCTGGTGACAGCGACTTTGTCCGCGTAGAGTAGTTACTTGAGCATCACCATATTTGTTTTTGCAAACCCCCTCTTCATCTCTATAAATTTAAATCGTTACCCACGACGTGTCGTTCAGGTGCCGTCGTTCTTGCAAGTTAATCTTAAGAGATAGACATATAGTATCGCGAACATATTTTTAAAATATTTAAAAAGGAATAATTCTTTCATATATACTTTTTGGGTATCTCGAACGGTTGTCGCAGTGTACGCTACGGAAACTCATAAAAATAAATAATTGTCTTTCTTTTGTCTCCACATTTTCCACTGTTTCTTTGCTCCTATTGATCACAGGACGACGTTTTATAGCCTATAGCCTTCCTCGTTAAATGCTCTAAACAAGAGAAACACGACTCGGGCAGGACTCGAAACGGTCTCCACAGCCTTTCCGTGCAGTTTTAACCAATTAAGCTACCGTGAAATACCTCGAACCTACAACGTTCAAACAAGCAGCCGTGGTCACGGGGAGACTCCAGGAGACAGTCTCCCCGCGACCACGGCTGCTGCAAAGCATCCGAAACGTCGGGCCGAAGTTAAAAATCATTTTCAAATAAGTTTAACTAATATATCGCGTTTTAAACCGTTAAAGTGTTTTATTTAAATAACATACTTTACAGCTTGTCCAACTGTGATGTGTGCGGGTGGTTCATGATCAAAAATGCAATATCAATTGAACACTGCTTGTAATTTTGAACATTTTCAAGCCCACAGATTAAAACGAAACACTTATAAACTACTATTTTTTATTTAATACTATTTATACTTTACGGTTTGTCCATCTGGTTCGTGACCCGGGAAAATATAAAAATAGTTACTCTACGAAATAAACGGTGGATTATTTACCTGGATAACTGTATACGCAGGTAAATCACAGACTGACGCTCCATATTCCCGCCCAACAGTTTATATGTAGAGGGCGTGGGCGGGCGGCGTAACAGCGCCATAGCAAATATTTAAATTCCGAATGTATGCAATATGTATTGTTTCAGTCGAGTTATAACTTAAGTTAAATAATACTTTCAGTTTGTACATTGTATTTGAATACAATGTACAAAACATTGTATTTGAAATAACTTGTAAGTATGTTATTAAATAAAACACTTTAAGGGTTTAAAACGCGATATATTAGTTAAACTTATTTGAAAATGATTATTAACTTCGGCCTGACGTTTCGGATTCTTTGCAGCAGCCGTGGTCACGGGGAGGAGTTAATATCGCGTTTTAAACCGTTAAAGTGTTTTATTTAAATGTGTACTACTCGCGGAAACTATAGACGTGTGTTTAAGTTTAAAACTGTGAAATAGGTATGAAAAATGGGATTATTTTGTAAAGGGAAAAGAACTACGCAGGTTTCATAGTTATATTATGTTTTTGTTTATGACAGATTGTAATTATGAAATAGACAGTTAAAACATTGTATAGTTAAGTAACACCACTATTCAGGGGGGGACTTTAACGGCTAACACAGAATATATTCCTTAGTTTGACGTTTTGGAACCTTTTTAGCAGCAGTGGTCACGGGAGGTCGGGCCCTAGTTAAATTAAATTAAAAATAGAATCTAACATTAACAATTAAAATTAGAATATTTCTCGTCGTTATACTACTCGTCTAAATACAGACAATGGATAATTTATTTCTGCATTTAAAGCCGTTAAATGTGTGTTCTTTAAACACAATATTATGTCTCAATGAAAAACCTTACCGGTTAAAATATATCCTTTCCCCCATGACCACTACTGGTACGAAGCATCCAAAACGTCGAGCCGTAGTTCAAATAATTTCAAAATAATTTTAACAAATTTAATTCGCGTTTTAAACCGTTAAAGTGTTTTATTTAAATGTGTACTATTCGCGTAAACTACATACAGTTTACCATATTGTGTAAATGGTAATACGTTCCCGGCGATGTTTTACTAAAAGAAAAGAAGACTCCAGACAAATATGTACAAATAAAGCTACTATATTTTATTAGCGTGTTTCTAGGACAAATTTCTCATTTGTTCGTACGCAGTTCGAAAATCTAAAGGGAGAAATGCAGAGAATCATCCCGAAAGTTCCTCGAGTTTACCCACTGCGCGAAGTATTTCAAACACTTGCTGGTCTGGTTGAGCCCTAACATTATTT